ATGCTCGGAATTGAAGAAATACACTAATTTTGTTTAAAACTTCCTCTTTGTTGTGCACATAATTTTTATTATGTACTAAAAATATTTATTAAATATTTTAATTTCATTTTTGACTTAACCTAATCTTTAATGAGGAAAGAAGATTTCGCTTATCGCTGGCTTTCGTTGTTATAAGTAGGGAGTGGCAAAACATGCAAATGCGTATTTTGCATGCGGATACGCCATGAGCTGAAACGCTCAAAAATGGTGTTTTTACGTCGGTATGAACATTAGTGACCGGGTTCCTATAGCATATTTTTGCATATTTCAGTATTTCGTGCATATTTGCATATCGATGCATATTTGGGGAAATTTTGCATATTTTTACCTAAATTTGTGCATATTTTGGCATTTTTTTGAGAAATTTTAGTAAATACATATGGCAAAATTTTCAAAATTTTGGAATTATTTAGGTAAATAATTTTTTATAAAATTTGCTGAAAAAATTTTTTCGAAAAATTTTCTTTCAAAAAAATTATTTGGTTGAATTTTAAGTTTTTAAAATCTTTTAGAAGAGCTCTTAAACTGCAATTTTTACTTAAAATATTGGTTTTTAGAGCACATTTTTATTATTTTTGCTGCATGCTTAGTGCATATTTCGGCAAATTTGTCATATTTTTTTGCATATTTTGGGCTTTTTCGATGCTTTTTCGATGGCTTTTCGATTCCGTGCTTATTTTGCCACTCCCTAGTTATATGAGGTTGGGACTATAATTACCCAGGGCAATTATATCAGTCTAGACGTAAGCTTTTTACCCCCGGAAGGTTACAATTATCAATTGTTTGTCATTCTCACTTTAATGTCAATCTATTCTGAACTGGAGGTGTTCAACTGGATACAGTAAAACAACTTAACCCATCCCAGAAAATATCGAAAGATTGGAAGGGATTTATCCTGATAGATTGATTTTTTCTTTATTTCCTATGTTCGGAGGAAAGCTCTTTAAATAAACATACAATTAAAGCTTTCCTTCATTTCACGTTGAAAATCCCAAATAATAATTTTATATTTTTCTAAAAACAAATCAAATTTTTCTTTTGGATTTTCAGGTATATTAATTAATTTTTTATAATTTTCATTTTCTTCAATTAAATTTAAACAATTAAAAATATTTTCTTCTTCAATTTTTTCTTTAATTTCTTTTATCATTCCAAATAATTTTTTATAAAAATTTTTTCCATCTATAGGTCCAAAAAAGTAAATATTTCCATTAATTTCCCATTTATCTTTACCACATTTTTCATTCATTTTTTCAATTAATATTTTTTTGGTACTCTTGTGTTATCTCCCCCCATTTTATTTTTCCTCTCCATTCTTTTCCTTTCTCCATAAAAAGCACACATGAATCCAATTAAGATATTGGTTTTTTTAGGTACCCAGCTTTGGTTTTTAAGGACCATTGTCAATTATTGTGCTTTTGTATGGTAACTCTGGAAGAATAGGGCCCTCTATTTCCCTGAAATATTCTGGTAATACAGTGAGCGTATTGTAAATAGAAGTACTGGTAACATACCAACGTTGAGATTGGATCTCTAATTTCAAAACATGGTAACACACGACATAGATTCAATTTGACCCATTTGCATTTTTTGAGAAATGAAAATGAAAGGGGAAGAAAAATAAAATGGGGGGAGATAACACAAGAGTACCATTTTTTTAATTTCTTTAATAGGAATTTTTGAAAAGTCTTGACTGAAAATTAAAAAGATGATATTAGTATTTTTAGTAGCTCGAATTATTTTAGGTTTAAAAATCAATTTCTAATGTCAAGGACTCTGACATTACTACAAAATTATATTAAAAAACGACCTCTAACTGAATGTTAAGGTGATTAGTTTTGAACATTATTTTAAATAGATTCGGTATACATATTATTAATGCTCGGTTATCCGGATCTCAACTCCCGAATCAGAAAATTTTCCTGATTATTTGGCCTCCTGATCCGGACTCCCGACGTAAATTCCCGACCCAACTTCCGATTCCCGGTTTTTCTTCTCCCAAGCATAGTGATGTTCGGGAGAAGAAAAAAATAATTTTAAGTATTGACAAAACTTTTTTTAAGTTTTAACACATTTTAAAACCAATTTTATAAAATTTAAAAACCTTTTCTTTAAATTGACTTTTCTTTTATGAAGTATTTTTGTAACAACAATCGTTTTAAATTTAGTATATCTTACTATATTAAATATTTTTATACCTCCAAATAAAAACAGAACGCAAAAGCCTTGAAATATTGGTTCCTAATATTTTAAAAATTAGTTTATTTTATTATTAAGTCCTGCACTCTTATTATTATTACTCGGGTCCAAAATTGCCCCTCGACCTCGATCTCGGCTTTTTCAGTCTCGGTGATCCTCGGTCTCGGTTTTTTCGAAAACCTTCGACCTATCGCACCCTTGTATTTATTCTCCTGCCAGTATTTTATATATTGACTGTAATCTAATGAATTTACCGTATTTCCTGAAATAGTACTCCTTCCTGAATTAGTACTCCCCCCTTAAATAATACTCCCCTTTGGAGGAGGGTTCAAAAATAGTACTTAATCCCTATAAATTTATTGATATCCTCCTTATTCGTTTAATATCCCCTTATTCCCTTGATATCACTCCAAATCCAATAATATCCTTCATGTTATCCCCCAATAACACTTATTTTAACCCCCCAATTACGCTTATTTTAAGTCACTTATATGTTTAAATGTTCCGCCATTTGCTCAATTCTATACTAATTTCGATATTTTTTCGAATTTTTTATAAAAAAATTTTTTACATCCAGGTCAGGATCCGACATTTTTCAAATTCGAACTCAAATTGATTTAAACGTAAAGAATTTTGAAATAAATTTTCCTATGATAAATCATAAAGGAAGGTTGAAAAATAGTACTCCCCCTTGAATTAGTACTTCTGCCTTAAATAATACTCCCTTTTGGAGGAGGGTTGAAAAATAGTACTCCCGGGATTACTATTAGCTGAAATACGGTATATTATATAAATTAGGAACCTCTACATTATCTATATTTTTATTAGGATTTTTCTTATAATTAATTAAAGCATCCTTCATTTTCGGATTATTATTTACAAAATATTTAATTAATTCTTTTTGTATTATTGGATCACTTCTAAACTTTAATTTTAAATTTTCATTTGGAAAAAAATATTCTTGTATTTCATAAATTTCATCCAATTTCTTTTTGTCATACCTAAATTTGTTTGTAATTTAGAAAAATATTTTTTTTTTAATTTACTTTTGATATTTATTTTCTTTTTTTGAATTATTTTGAATAAAATCATCCAATTTCCTTTTACCTCCTCCTCTAACCTTTTTATTTTTTATTTCATTTAAAGAAGAATTTGAAGAACTACAATCTTCACTTAATGCTTAATTTATTTAAATTTTAAGAAAAATATTTTTTAATTTTTAAAAATTACAATAATCACTATCCAAAGAATTATCGGAATTATTTGGCGTCGAAAATGTTAAATTAATTATTAAAAATATTAAATAAATAATTAAACAAAAATTTTTTAGAGACATTTAATTAATTGTTTTTGGGAAATTTTTAAAAATAAATTTAGAGAAAACTTAAATGGAATTGATAAAAAATAAAAATTAATTTAAATAAACAAAAATAAATAGAGAATATAGTACATGTTTTGAAATAAACATAAAAATGCACTTTAAGTAAATGGATTCACATGCATAAAAAACTATTTTTATTAATTTTTTTAAAGTAAAGTCTAGATTTAAATTACGAAATATTTAATAAAAATAAAAAAAATTTTATATTTTTCTCCAAGAAACTGCTAGGAAGAGACGTATACTTTCAAAGGGATGCAGGTCTTAGGCTAATAAGCCTAAGCTAGTTTTTTATAAGAAAAATTTTTATCTTCCGGAAAAGTTATATCCTTAATTGTCGTACCACCTGTAAATAATATTCACTTATACCATCTAAAACTAATCGAGCCTTCTAAAAATTAGCGGATAACCGATATATTTATAAGTAGGGTTTGATTTTTCAAACCGGGCCGATGTTCGAATCATTTTTCAGGTCGCGGTGGGGTACCTTTCCGTGCCGCGAGTTCCGTGCCGCGGATTCCGTGACTTCCCAGTTCCGTGACCTCCCAGTTCCGTGACCTCCCAGTTCCGTGACCGTTGTAAAAGGGACGTTTCCTTACTAATTATTTAAATAAGAAACAAGGGTTTCTCGTAATTTTTTTAGTTTTTCCTACTTTCTACGATCTAAAGAACATGAAAAAAGGTAGCCGAGTTTTTCTCTAGGCTTTTCTTGGACTTTCTCGGGCTTAGGGGGTCTTGGTCTTGACTTTTTTTCTTCAGGGAACAAAATTTTAATAAAAAAAACGAGTCAGATACACAAAAATTTATCAAAAAAATCATAAATAAAAGAGTTCTGCACACATTAAACAAGATTTGACTAAACATAAAAAAGGAAATTTAAAAAAATTAGAAATATCAACTAAAGATTAAAAAAATTAAAACCTGAAAAATAAAACAAAAATTCCTGATCTTGCTAAGTTTGGAACCTTGTAAAGCATCGGAACAGCCGTGGGATGGATATCCAGCACGCCACAACCAAGTTTTGGTTAAATATTTTATTAAAAACATAATTATATTATTGGGGAGAAGTCACGGAACTGGGAGGTCACGGAACTGGGAAGTCACGGAATCCGCGGCACGGAAACCGCGGCACGGAACTCGCGGCACGGAACCCTCCCAGTCCGTTCAGGTCGGACCGGTCGAGTATTTTTCGGGCCTCATTTTTATCAAACCAAGCCGTTCGAGTATTTTCGGGCCAAAATTCGATGCCCGTTTCGATCTATCGGACCGAACCTGGTCCCCACCCCTATTTACGAGTGAATAAATTTACTTATTACGATGTTAAATAATTTTTAATGAAAAAACAGCTAAATAAATTTAAATAAATATTAAAAATTAATTTTCTTTATAATTTCAAATCATCTTTGTAAACTTGTAATGCAAGTTGATAAATTCCCGGAAGTACCTAAAAATTTAGAAAAAAATAAATTTTAATTAATTCTTTTCCAATATTTTACTTTAGCTGCTTCCTTCTTAATTCCCCTTTCCGGAAAAATAAAACCTCCAAATAAATTCTCATAACGTCCAGAAGTTAATTCCATAGTATAGGAATATTTAACACCCAAACTTGTTGCGTAATCGTCACTTCCCCCAGCAGCTTCGTCTTTTTTAAATAATAAAAATTATTTTAAAATTAGCATTTTATATTTTTAAAAATAATTTCTAAGTTTATCTTAAAAGCTCCAAATATATTCGGATCTTAATTTTGATTACATTCAATAATGGTTAAACTAAATCTAAGATACAAAAATATTTTTTTAGTTTTAATTGGGTAGGATAATTCCAATAATTGATGCTAATGAAAGCACACTAGAATTCAAACCAAAACGAGATTTCAAACAAAAATCTTGTTTACTGAGAATATCAATCTCGATTCCTTTTCGACTAATACACACTTGTTAAGATACATTTTTTCATCCCCAAGAGTTTACGTATAAACTTGATTTAGATAAACTTTAATTATTTAATTTATTGAAGACAATAAATTTATGATTCCAAAAGATATACAAAGCTTTGTTCACATCCCTTATAAAGTAACTACTGTGTAGATAACTCAAAATTTTGGATATCTGTACAAATAAACCGACAGAATATTTTCTAATAAAAACAAACATAAAATGTCAGGTGCACTTCCAATTTTAAAAGGAGCCCCTCCTTCCTGGACAATTGCTTTTGCCATTTTTTCGGCTACAACTCTCAATTCCTCAACATTATCTGGATATGTTCTTGCAGCATAATTCCAACCATGGATTATTAAATTCCCATAAGCGTGTAATGTTAAATATGCTTTTAAATTATTTTTGTTTTTATTCATATAAGCTGCTAAATGTGCACATTCCGGTTCGGAAAGAGGTGTTGGGCCTGGGTAAACTTCACTGAAATTGGAATATTTTAATATTAAATTGTTGGTTGTACAATATTTATATTTATCAATTTAACTAGACAGATCCTTCTACAGCTAATTCTAAACAGTGAATTCCTCTCTGAATTCCTTTCTCAACAAAATAACTCTCTCTATAAGGAACTCTTCCTCCAGTCTTTCTTATTTAATATTTATATGTTGATTAACTCTATAAACATCACTTGATTTCCTATCTTTATAGATATGATCTTATCTTTAAAGAAAAAATAATATTCTAAACTATGATTGAACTCTGAACGGACGCTCTAAACTTATTCAAGGGCCTTGCTCTTGCTTCGACATTCGTATCTACTATATATGCTATTTTGAACCTGATAAAATCTAGACTTTGGGGTTTTGTTATTTTTCTATATTATCCAAATTAAAATAAAAATAGTATCTTTTAAATTTTCATTTTTTAACCTGCAAGGGCAAGGATCTGTTCCCGTTTCTGCCCAATGATAAGGAAAGTTTCTGTTAGGATCTACTCCATAACAGAGTGGAGCATCTCCAATACCACAAACTTTTGTTGTTTTGTATGGACCAGAACGTGTATGTCTCCATAGTCCTTTAAATAATTTATAACTTTAATTTTCGAATTTTGTTTAACTATCTCTTGTCCAAGTATATTCATATCCATCAGGATTTAGTACAGGAATAATATGTACATCGATGTGGTCAAGTAGGGACCTCCATTTTGGATTATTAATGAACTTTAAAGAAATTTTTTTTAATAATTTTTGTGCTACTTTAGATCTCTAGGACTGGATTACTTTAATTAATTTATCTAGGAACCGAATTTCTTCTACGTATGAACGTAATTGGGTATGATTGGGGAGACATTTGTATCTAATTAACTTGCCTAAGAATAAATTAACTAAAATAATTTTATTAATCTATACCTCATTATAAGATAAAAATCTTTTTCAGCCCCATAGTGTAACTTATAGTGCAAATTTAACTAAATTGATTTGATCCGACGTAATTTTATTTTCTGATTTATTTCCTCAATTAAAGCCTAATATTTTTGATATTCTCTCTCTTATTAAGGTCCAATCTACTATATATTTTATAAATTTTAATTAATTTACAGCATTAATAGCATTCAAAGCAACTGCAGGCGCAATCCATTCTCTTGCTTAATTTAAAAATTGAAAATTTTTAAATTTTAATTCAAAACCGTGTATTCCACCATCTAAAAGAAATATAGGCTTAATTGTTCTATTGTTGAATGGAGCATATCCGAGCTTAAAAATTTTTTTTGAATTTTCAAAATTAAAATTTTGATCATATTTATTCTGGAAATTATTTGAATGTTCAAACATCACTTCATTTTTAGATACCCTTCAAATACACTTTTTCAATTTTGGTCACAAAACCAAAAATTTTTTAAAGTGCTTTTTGAATTTTAAAATAAAACTGATACTTAATTAAAAACGGTTTTTTTAATTTTATTAACAGAAAACCGTTGATAACGTGTCAATAAAATACACTTTTAAAGGTACTTGTGGGTTATCCCTACGGACTTTTCCGGACACAATTGTACAGAATGGTCAGCTTCTCCCTCCCTTTCGTCCCTTTTAAAATATATGTACATGGTTGAGATAGATCTAATTTTGATATTTACCTTCAATACACCCAACTCTCTCAATTCCGTTGTTTTCCCAATACTCTCAAATTTTGCAATTTTTGGATTTTCTTTTGCAATTAGTTGCATGTATTGAATTATCTATTTAAATATTTTTTTAATTTTATTTTTTAAATTTTTTACGGAATTATATCGATGATACCGCCCCAAATCAAATTCTTCGATACTTGTAATTAATTCTTCATCCCATTCATCTAGTAATTCATAACGGAGAGTTTCGCCGGAAACGCGCATTTGGCTATATTTAAATATTTTTTAAAATTTATTCTCATAATTTACAAAAGACTCAAATTGTGATTATAAATCACACAAACACTTTCCTCGTATCTTCTTTGACTCCCGAGGTCATTTCCCGACCCGACTCCTGTTTCACGATTTCCCGGGGTTTTTATTCTCCCGAGCATCACTATAATACAAGAAACCACAGATTGGTAATGGTTTGTTGTAGAGCTTCGCCTGAAGTTCCGGACCCGGTCAAAATTTCGGTTCCGTTGAAACACTAGTTTGTTGGCTGTTATTAACAGCCGAATTATTTCTAAAAACTCAGAATGAATCCGACTCTTTCGCTATTCCTGGTGTGGGTTGATTCATTTTAATAAATACTTTTGTGCCTAGCACTTCCTAAGTTTGCCTAATTTTTAACAAAATTTTAACAACTTACAGCCCAAAATCTTCAATTAAAGTAGAATACACAATTTTTTTGTCATCAAAAAAATCTAAAAGTTTTCTTTCACTTTCTGGCCCAGAAAATATTTCTGCAGGCATTCCAGGCTGTGAATGGACTTTCCATATTTGTATATTATTCTCTTCAGATTTCAACATATTTATTGAACGAGTAATATTTTTAAGTTCCATTAATTGTGATTTGTTTGAAAGAAAGGCACGGAAAAGTTTGAAACTTTAAAAATAAAATTTTGAAAATATTTTGAATAAAAATAGTCTAGGGCTTCGATTTTATGTACAATTTCGGAGGTAGAAAAATAACATGCTCTACCAATTACCCATCTTAAATAATTACCTAATTACTAGTGTTCGGCACGGTACGGTATACCGCGGTATTTTTCCCGGTATACCGCGGTATTTTTTTTTGTTTCTAATAGAATAGAATTTACAGCAAAAATCGAAACATGGATTAAATCTGAAGTTAATTTAGATGAATCAAGTGATCCAGCAATACAAATTGAAGCTGTTGAACAAGGTGAGAAATTAAAATACAAATAAAGAACCAGCTTTAAGAACCTGTTGAACCTCCATCAAAAAGTAAAAAAATTGATTTTTTTGCCTCTCGCTCTCAAAAGTATAACCGGCCTAAAACTCCTGTTGAATCAACGTCGTCACATCAGCCAGAAAGCATTGAACTGGAATTAGCACTTTACAGGTCTTATACTTTATGATTTATTAAATAAAGATAAGATCAATAGGAGAATGCCTCTACAACCTCTTGATAGTGATCCATTATTATTTTGAAAAGAAGCTGAAAAACAATTCCCTATATTAACTCCTATAGTTCGTCGGTATCTTTCCAGTCCATCTACATCAGTGGCTAGTGAGGAGTTGTTTTCAGTCGCGAATGATGTTTTTGATTACAGACGTTCACGTTTGAATCCTGATACAGCAGAAAAAATCGTTTTTTTAAATAAAACTTTACCATTTTTAAATTACAAATATTAAAATTATGTTCATTTTTCAAATTTTATTGTTAAGATTTTAAAAATACAATTTAAGAAAATTTTATTAAATTTTAAAAAAATACCGAATACCGGACGGTATACCGAAAATGTTGAGACGGTATTTTCCGGTATCGGTATTTTTCCGGTATACCGATACCGTACCGGTCAATTTTTGTAAAAAACGGTATTTTTCGGTATCGGTATTTTTTCGGTATACCGATACCGAATACCGGAAAAGGTCATTTGCCGAACACTACTAATTACTTTCTCCAACAGTTTAATTTCTCCCAGATTTATTATTAGAGGATATTTAGTATCGCTTGGAAGTTTTCCTCTACCCAGTGACCAAACAAAAAAAAAGAAAAATATTTAATCATTTAATTTGGGTGGACATAAAATCAAGGTGGTTCAAGTGCTCCACTTAAGTTATAAAAAGTAGAGACTAATTTAAATTTATTATAAAATTTCTTGGTACTTTTCCGTCATACGACCGCAAACTGAGTGTCAGCCGATTTTGATCGGTTATAATCTTTCTATGCTTGATCCAATATAAATGAATTTTATATCATTCGAAAGCCCTCGATAAGAGGTTTAATAAAAAATAAAAATGTTCTTTTAAAACAACCTACATACCCGTCATACTGTCGGTGACCGTGTTTTTCCTCTTCAGACTTTGCAAATGCTAATAATATAATAATTACTGATAATAACAAGAACATTATTTTTTAGTGTATTTTAGACAATCAAAAAATAGTAATTTTTTCTTTAGTAATTTTTAATTTAAATACAGTTTTTTGAATATTTATTTAATTTATTTAAATAAATAATAAATATAAAATTATTATGTACAAACAAAAAAATTTTTTTGTCTTTTTTTGTTAAACATAAACCATTTTTATGTCTATATATTATTTTTTCAAGAACAATTACTAAATCAATTTATTATATTTTTTATTTAATTTTCTTAAGTGAATAATAAAATTTATATATAATTTTTATTTGATTAACAAATAGTTTTGGTGATTAAGTTTTTTTGTATATACATATTTCCCTATTTTATGAAGGAAAAAACAAATAAAATAGACTTTTGTTTAAAAAATTTTTACGAAACACAAATGTGTATAGTTTTTAGGTTTTTTTATTATTATAAGATATAGTGGAAGCTCGATATAATGACAACCCTAAGGAACGATATTCGTCGGATTTGTTAATTTTTTAAAAAAGTCAGGTGGCGTAATAAGTGAAGTTAAATTGGGCCACAATACCTCAGTGTGTGAGTGATAGAAGTAGAAGTGAAAGGAGGTATCCTCATAGAGAGAGAGACTACAATTATTGTTGGCGGCTTTTTAAGTTAGATAATTAGAAATTCACCAAGAGGAAAATTTATTGCTTCGAAATTCAAATTCTCTTAAAATCGTTTTTAAAAACAATTATCGGACAAAATTATTGGCACAAAAATTGTTCAAAAAATTGGGAAGGATTTTTAATTGGTTTAGCTAGGCATTAAAATTAAGTGACTTGTCTAAGAGTTACCAGGAAAAGTGAGGATAAGTTGAAAGCGAGGTAAGTACTAAGCACAAAATTCTACTAATTAAACTACGATGTTATTTTTAAAAAAATTAAGTTTTTAAAGTTAAGAATCTTAAAATAACCCTTTTTTCCTTATATTCTAATTACTCAATGTACACCGAATGCTGCAACATTTTACTCGTAAAAGCACAAAAACGAGAACAAAATTTTAGAGCTCTTTTTAAATCTTTAATCATTTACAGTTTCCAATTATCCTTGAAAATTTTTTGGAATAAGAGCTCTAAAATAGCTACAAAGTATATATACATATATGTACAAGAATGAAAAATATAATAAAAAGAGTTCGAATTTTTCACATTGGCGGCATGGTATTCGGGTTCTTTTCATTTAAAAGGACCCGGGACTTCGAAAAACCTGATTTTATCAGAATACCCTGTGTTTCTTGTCTACCAGGCCTGAAAACCCGGGACCGATTTGGATTTAAACTAGGGCAGCACCCAAAGCCTTCGGGGCGGGATCGGCGGGGATCAGGGTTTGTCGGGGTAGAGTCTTCGGAGATCGGGTCGGGAGACGGATGATACCCTAATTCAAACTCTAAAAATAAATTCCAAATAGAACAAGTACATAGTTTAGGAGGAAATAATTTTTAAAAAAATAAAGGATAAATGAGTGTTTAGAAAGGGTTGTTACTCGTCCACGCTTATCCGCGTTAAGCAAGAATGGGGAGGCATTCTTCCCCATCTTCCTTTTTATCTCGAAAAAATCCGTTGTAATTATTTTCCAATCTTCTTCAAACAAAACATCAAGTAAGTTTTTATTAGTTCGAATTCTTAGGAACGAACGTTTAAAACTTTTCAAATTTTTAAAATACGCTAAACGCAGAACGCCAAAAATCAACGCCATAACGCACAACCCAGTTCCCCCGGTTTCATTAAGTACCCGAGTTGAGTACTGGAACCATATTTTGAGCCATAACTTTTTGGTTTTTCAACCAATTCGAATAAATCATATATTCGAAAGCCATGAATGTGAGGATTATTTTCGCCAACTAGATTTGATCAGATCAATCCTGCTAGATAAAATAATCCTTACATCAGGATCTTTCGATGAATATATTATCTAAATTGATTAAGAATCGAAAAAGTTATGGCCCAAAATATGGCAGTTTTTTCAAAACCCCTTTTTCCTTAAAATTATCCCTTCTCACTGGTTTTTGTTATCCGTTTTTGCCTCCCTATCCCCGCAAATAATAATCTTAGTTTGGATCTCTGAAATAAAGGTGTTAAAACTAAATTGGCTTTCACTTTAGCGTTAGTTTTTCTTCCGAATGTGTTATAAAAGTGAGATCTGATTTTTCCCCTCCCAACTAAGTTGCCTTAAGTCAACAAATTTTTAGCTGTTCTCATTTCTAATCCTTGAGGTTATCTGCGTGAAAAACCTCGAATTTCAGGTAACAACCCAAATCCCTATTTGGAGTGTACAAAAAGTATGTTTTTACATGTTTGTGTGCTTTTCTACGTTTCGATCTTTTTACAGGCGTTTTCTTTACTTGTTGCCTTCGAATTTCTCACCTCTTCATTTGGGTGGCTGTGAAAAGAACAATAATTAATATTTATCTGATTATAATTTAAATAGTATTTATTTACGTTAGCTTTGCTAGCATCAGTTGGAGGTTTAATTCCACATTTTTCACCGCATTTGATGCATTCCTGTGGAAGTGGTGGAGGTGGTGGAAATTGACCATTTGGAGGTGGTGGATGTTGACCGTTTGGAGGTGGAGGAGGTTGACCATTTTTTGGAGGAAGAGGAGGTTTACCATCTGAGGTTGGCGGAGGAGGTGGTGGTTTATGAAGAATTGTTATAAGAGCTTGGACACAGCCGACCACCTAGTTAATAAATTTTTGTTAAAATTTCAGAATTTCTTTATCTGAGATTTTAAACTAATTTTAAGTAAAAATCATCGATTTACTAAAAAATTTTAAATAGAAAGTTCTTACGTCGTTATCCGGTTGTGTTTCACCTTAATTATTTTTATATTAAATTTTAACAGATAATTTTTATTGGAAACAAAACCTTTAACTAGCGAGAAAAGAACAGCAAGAGCGCCGATGAAAACTCCAATTTTGATCGCCATAATCAAAGCAGTAGCTAACGAACGCTTAGAGAATTTGAGTTTTTTGTTTAAATTTGGTAGGATGAGGAAGGGTTGTCCGTCCTCCTTTCGATTCTGTAGTCGACTACGATGTCCCACCTTCCTTTTATATGCTCCAATTGTGTTGCCAGAAAGTTGCATTTTGGGGTAATGGGAAGGGAATATAGGCGGAGATTGATAGAAAAGGGCAAAAACGTCAGGTGAAATGTTGAATGCGTGACTTGTCTCTTGACTTTCTTTGTCTATGTCCTTTTCTCCTTGCCGATTAAACAAAGAAAATATTTAAATTGCCATAAAGGAAGACTTGGTATTGATCATTAAAAGGGCATTTATGACAGGCGACAGGGATTCTAAATTTTAAAAAAGACTTTAAAAAATGCCAGACTCCTTCCCGTAAGCGGGCCTCATGTGAATGTCTGTCTGATTGGGAATCAGGAGACAGACTCTCATGATTAAGGGCATTTCTAGTGAAGACATTGTTGAAATGGAGAAGAGGAATTCTAAATAATTTTAGATAGACGGCAAACTTCTATTAATTAGGAAAATAAAACTTTTTGGGTCCAATGTCAATATAACATGAAAAATTTTTGGAAGTTTCAGGTTAGGAATTGGAGAATCTTATGAATTGAAGAAAATATTTCATAATGCGCATGAGAAGTTTAAATTAAATGCTTGCTGAATAATAAAAAGCATATAGAAATAAATAAAAATAAATTTTTAAAATAGACAGGAAAATATTTTTTGTCAATGTTTGTAAATTAAATTGACAGTGGCATTGATTTAAAAATTGATTTACCCAAAAAATAAAATTTTTAAAAATATTTGGCAATAATTTTTGACAAAACAAATTCTCGATTAAACAAGACTTTCTATTGAACTTGCTGAACTTAAATAGCAAAATTAGTAATTTAGGCACTAAAAAACAATGTAAGAATTTCATCAACAGCCAAAAACAAATTCAAAAATATACACACAACGTTAATAGAACCAAGCATTTTACTTGACAAGGTAGCTGGACATTGTCATTATTCAAGGAGCACAAACGACGATATCCTGCCTGTCAGTTAATAAGTCAGATAATACTTTCAAAATTCCACCCGATTTTGGTCTAAACCAGTGCTTGGTATAGCTCCGGGAGTTGGCTCCGGAGCCAGCTCCGGCGGAGCCGTAGCCAAGAATTTGAACTGGCCGGAGCCGGAGCCAAGATTTTAAAAAGTCGGAGCCCGGAGCCGGAGCCAGGATTTTAGAAGCCCGGAGCCGGAGCCAACAAATAGCAAATAACCAGCACTGGTCTAAACAATAGTATTTAAAGAAAAAATTATCCTCGGAGTAGTTACATACATATTCCACACGATTACATACACCACACGATTTTGGTCTAAACAATAGTATTTAAAGAAAGAGCTATCCTCGGAGTAGTTATTCTTCATTCAAATCAAAATTTTCTAAAATGACTGTAACAGTGCCAAAGTGCAACGACGATACAAATACAGACGTTACACAGGAGTCCATTCAAGTTCAACCGCAAATATTAGAAACTTACAACCAAAATACATCAAAACCGGCGGGCTTTGGACGAACGCCGCAAAAGGTGAATTAGCTAGCTTTTTTAAACATGTAGAATTTTATAGGCTTATTGTCCCAAATGTGAAGAAAATGTTTTGACAAAAATCAAATATGTGTGTGGTATGGCTACTTGGTTGCTGGTCTTTCTCTTTATGCTCTTCGGGTAATTTTTTAATAAAAATTCAAAAAAAAATTTTTTTTCTTTAGTCTTTATTGTGGCTGTTGTCTTATTCTATTGTGCATCAAGAGTTTTAAGGATGTTGAACACCGATGCTCTTATTGGTACATGTGGACGTATGGCATGTGAAGGGCCTCAAAGTCCACAACCTCAACCAAAAATCGTTCTAGCTCCAAATATACACATACATAATAACAACAAAAGGAGGTGAAGGGCATGTTCGGTATATGTGAAATTGTGATTTTTGCGATAAAACAAATGATATATTTACTATCAATATTATTTCTAATAAAAAGTAGTTAAATTCTGATATTTTTGTTAGATTTGCACTTATGGGAGAATCAGGTTCGATACCTGGTGGTAGTTGTTGGCTGCTTTAATGTAGTCACTGTATAGCACCTAAACAGGCGGCCCATCCCGTTTGGAGAGGCAATCAGGCCTAATATTGCTTGTAAATTCCGAGACAGCCCTACTAACAAGTATAGTAAAATCCTTAACCCTCCCATCCACGTGTAAGTGCATAAATAGACTGTGGTTAATTTAATTAAACCAACAAAATAATAGTCCTTGGCAATCCCGGAAAATTGGGGTTCCTGCGAAAAGTTTAAAAATAGGAGAAAATCAACGTGATTGGAAAATAATTGGACAAAAAATCTAGTTCATATTTTCAAAATCTGACATGAAATCAGACTCGTAATCAGCATATTTTTTTTACCTTAGAAACAGCATTTCTCTTAATTTTAAACTTTTTTCACAGGGATCCCAATTTTCCGGGATTGCCTAGTCTTGTTTAAAATTCCTTTACTTTTTTTAATAAATTTTATGTGAAAAAATTTTTTTTAATTTACAAAAAGAAATTTTACAAGAAAAAAAATGTTAAAATAGCCCGTTTGTTAAAAAAAAATTAGATAGGATATATAATACATAACGGCAGTTATATAACTTTCAAAATTTCAATTTAATCCTTTTCTGTTAAAAAACAAACATCCAAAACACAAAAAGGTAAACGACATGTTGGACACGGTGCTCGTCCAGCCATCCATATTTCCGGCAAATTTTGATTTTGTTTGGAAGCAAAAATTCTTCCCATACATCTAGCACACCTAAAAAATTTTTGTTTATTTTTCTAGACAAAATATTTTAAATTATCCTGTCTTTTGTAGTCAAAATATTTTTATTTAAATTTAAACTAACCACATTGGTCGACATTGACAATTACGGCATTTTTCGTAGCTTGCACCATCCTGGATGTCTGGAGAATCGATACACTTCTTTACTAGTTTGACTTGTGCCGGTAGTTGAGAACAGCCTAAACAAGGCTCCAAATCCTTAAAAAAATAATTTTTTGTTAGAATATTGAGAGGAAAATAATTAAAAGGTGGAGGATTTAGATTTTGGCTCTTGTCCAGATTAAGCGTCCAATCGCACGTTTATACGTCCAATGAAAATGTTATTGGACGCATAAACTAGACAAAAGCCAAAATTTTCTTACCTCCTTCTGTTTATAATCGTAACGCGGATTTTTTTCCAATTCTTTTATAAAAGCATCAACAAAACTTTAAAAAAATTCCATTTATTTCAATTTTTAAATTAACAACCGTTCATGTAAAGGTTGTGGAAGTGCTAAAGAATCCAAAACTTCAATTGGACGTCCAATCTGATCTTTCAAATTATTTAGTTCTTGCTGATTTCGAATTCTTAAAATTTAAATAATTTTTTAACAAAAAGATAATAGAAAAAAGATTTCTTCCAAAAAATTAAAAAATAAAAGGAAATTCTGCCTTCTCGCTTGAAAAACTAATTGTAAGGAACAACTAAAAATATGAAGGAACTAACAATAAACTGTAAAAATTAGGGTTCCCGTTTTCGAGTCGGGCCAACGTTCAACGATTTTCTCGGGCCTCATTTTTATCGGGCCGGTCCGACCGAGTCTTTCGGGCCAAAATTCGATACCCGATTCGATCATTCGGACCGGACCGGGCCGGCAACCCTAGTAAAAATAGTTCCGTATACCTATATAGGTACTTTCATGAGTAAAATACAAATCGACTAATCTATACACATAAGTTAGAGTCTCCAAAAATTTTTAAAATTCTATTGAAATCGGAAAGAAAAAAACTGGTTACCAGCCCCAAAACAAATTTTAAATTAATTAAAATTACCGAATGTGGAAAGTTTCAAAAGATCCACTTCGACTACAAACACGTAAATCAATTAAATGTTCAGCAGAAGTTGAAACTAAACCATCATGGCTTGGAACGCTCTGAAAATTAAGAAAAATATTTTTTTCAAAAAAATATTTTTTACTTGATGTAAAGGACTAGAACGGACAATAATCAATTGGGAATCAGAAATTCGAGCAAAATTGACATTGTAATTGGTAATTTTTAAAATCCATTCATCAGTAATTATTGTACGAGAACAATCTAAAAATCAAAAAACGGAAACAATTAAAAATTTGCAAATTTATTTCTTAATTTCTTTTGTTAGAAGGATCTAGGATATCACACGTGGAAGATTATATCCTAGGAGAGTAAAGAAAAAACTTAGACAAGCTTCTCGATTTTGGTTGAAGACCTCGACCTAATTCGTGGCATAGAGTCAAAGAAAATCAGGGTTTAGGAGGAAAAATCAAGGCCTGAATCCAGATCATTGTCGATCTCTATAGGGGAGAAATCGTAAATAATTTTTAAAAATAATTTTCCAGGCAAACTAAACCGTTTTTTCATCCTTACTTTTAACTTAAAACAAATTCTGCTAACAAATCCTAATTTGTTAGACAAAATATAATGTTATTAAAACAAAGAAACCTTTATTTATCATTGAAAAAAGCATAGGCCTTCTAACTTCAATATTAATTTGTATTGCCAACTCACGCCATGGCCCGTCTTGCGGATTATTCAGGAGACGTAAACGGCGTATCATATAATGACGTTCCCAATCATTTAAATAAAGAATCGAGCAGAAACAAGCAGTTGCTTTAAATGTTCTTTAAAAAACTGAGTAAAATTTAAAAAAAAACCAGTAGAAAGAGCGATAGACAAATAAGCCATTATTTGAATGAGGTTATGTGGAAGAGGAGTAAATACAGGTTGAGGAACACATAATTCAAGTCCAACGAAACAAACTAAAAGTATATTAAGTAAATTTAGATTTTAAATAAGAGTGCCGTTTTCGAGTCGGGCCGGCGGTCTAGGCATTTTCGGGCTTGTTTTTATCGAGTCGAGCCGGTCCGAGTAATTTTCGGGCCAAATATCTTAAGGCCCTACTCGATCTTTCGGTCCGAGTCGAGCCATTTTGGCAACCCCAATTTTAAATAAAGATTTGTTGGTAGATTTTGGCTCTTGCCCCTTGTCCATTTATGCTAGCAATCGACCTTTATACGGGCCATTCTAAATCTTATCCCTACAAAAGCTCTATCAGGGCATATGTTTTTATTGGACGTATAGTCTGATTAAATGCATAACCTACACAAGAGCCAAAATTTTTGTGAATTTTCTAAAAATAAATTTGAAAAATTCTCCCATAAATTGGTTTTAATACAAATATTTAACTCACGAAAAGGTAGAGAGGCATGGACCATAATTGTTAGTAATGTTCTTCTCAAATGATATTCAACAAAATTAAATCTGAAATTGTTTAAATTTTCTTAAATAATAAAGCCCTTTTTATTCACTTCAAAAATGTCCATCAAACCCCCCAATTCTTAACAATTAAAAATAAATTAATTTTTAAATAAAAAACCTTTCATCTCCCAGCCAAAATGCAAAAATTTTTGAAATTGTAAATCCTGCAGACTGCATTGCATCTGATGGAAGTATGACAACTAGACAAAGAAATGCTGACAGAATAAGGAAGAAAAGAAATTCGGAAAATGATATGCCAAGTTCCATAATTTTTAAATGAAAATTTGGCTGAAAATTTTAGAATTTTTATAAAAAATTTTTATGTTTAAAAATGCTAAAAAAACATGCAAAAGTAAATATTTGCACATAATTTTACCGAGTCATCAATGAATTTTTTGTTGCTTGCTAAAATGCGCATTACACGCGGAACGGCCCTTTGAGTACCGACTCTTAAATATTTGCGAGACTCAGGCGACCAAAAATAAAACACTTTGCCAAAAACTGGATTTTTAAATAAAAATCGATTTTATCGAAAGGGACAGGGTAGGGGACGACTCAGAGTCGCCGATTCAGAGTCGCCGATTCAGAGTAGCCGATTCAGAGTAGGGACAATTCAGAGTCCGCCGATTCAGAGTAGGGACTATTCAGAGTAGCCGATTCAGAGTACGTGGAAAAGGGGACGATTCAGAGTACGTAGATTAGATTACCCTAAAAATTGAGATTTTTGGAAAGCAATTGCTTTATTTTTTTGTTTTTTATTCTTTCTTGTTTAAAAAAGAATTTTTCAATTTTATTTCTTAAAGAATTTATTTCTTAAAGAATTTTTTCAATTTTTTAAATTCATTTTTCTAGGGGTAACAACGACGTGCTCGGGCGGTTTGCTGTTGAGCGATTTGCTGCTGAGGTGATTCTGCCTGGCAACCTTTGAATTGCAGTCCTGTATGGAAAAGAAGCGATGTTGCAATTTCGTCAACAACAGCCACAACCCAAACGGCCCTCTTTAGGGCCACAAATCTAATGAGTGAAACGAGACATTGACTTTTTAGTTTCTTTTTTGATAAATTTTTGCTTATTTGACGCGTTTTTTTATTAAAATTTTGTTCCCTGAAGAAAAAAAGTGGTACTTATGAAGATGGAGGTGCCCTTTCTGCGGACTTTTTTTGCGGACTTTTCTTTCTTTCTAAATGTTTTTGTTGTTTTGCTTTCAGCAAGTTTTGCTCGTAGCAATTAACTGTCAAAGGATTATTTTTTATGCCGATTTGAAAAATATGTGTTCACGATTAATTTGAATATATAAGCGTAGAAATGTTACAATCAATAAAAAATTTGACTTTAACTAAATTTTCAATTACCCGATGATGAATTTCGACAATGGATCACTGATCTCGGAATACTTCATAGAAAAAGAATATGTTATTGTGGAATAGAAATGCGGGTAATTTCAAACCTTGTCCCCCCATTATTTTTATTACCTAAGATTGTACAAAATGGTCAGATTTCCTTCTTTCCTCTGTTTGAGCTTGGCATATTCAAATAAGAGATATTGTTGATAAAGAGAAGATTAAAATTAATTGAGTTGTTCAATACTGAGTTCAATTTATTTTCTCAGTTGTTGAATATTTAAAAATAGAAGTAAGAATGTAATGTTTTTACACACAAATTCATAATGTTATACACCAAATCAATTTTATTTAATTCTTTTTTTTTTGTTTAAATTGTTTTCGAAGGCAAAAAATAAGTGTATGACTATAAAATTAATCTTCTCTTCATCAATGTCTCTTGTTTGAATTTGCCACAGGGCAAATAGAGGAAGGAGAGGAAGAAGAAAATCTGACCTTTATGTACAATCTTAGGTAAGAAGAATAATGGGGGAGTGGCGTTGACAGTTAGTTGCTACAAGTAAAACATTTAAAAGAAGGGAAGAAAAGTCCGCAAAAAAAGTCCGCAGAAAGGGCACCTCCATCTTCATAAGTACCAAAAAAGTTGAGGCCAAATCTTTACCCTACGGCCGAAAAAGCCTAGAGTCGAGACTCGACTAGCTCTTAAAATATTCCTCAGATCGTAGAAAGTAAGAAAAACCAGAAAAATCGCTAGAAAAGTTGATTTTCTATGCCCGAAAATTTATGTACTCTGAATCGTCCCCTTTTCCCCGTACTCTGAATCGGCTACTCTGAATTGTCCCTACTCTGAATAGTCCCTACTCTGAATCGGCTACTCTGAATCGGCGACTCTGAATTGGCGACTCTGAATCGGCGACTCTGAATCGACCTTTTCCCAAGGGACACGCCCAAGTAGGCGCACGGCCATAACGGCGCAAAGCCATAACTTGTTGGAAAATTTCTGGACCTTAACAAAGTACACTTTAACGCGATGAGAGGTATCGTTTAATACTAAATTTGTTATGAATCGGAAATCTTGAAGCAAGTTATGACTTTGCGCCGTTATGGCTTGCGCCTACTTGGGCTGTACTTTATCGAAAAATTGAAACTAAAGAACCTCAAGCAAAGTTTAGGATTATTTGTAATTTTTGAATTACTTTTTCATGTTGTTCGTTTAATATATCTTTTTTAGACAAATACCTAATTATTCTTCCAAAAAAACATACAAAATGACTCAATTCCTTCCTGACAATTTGCTTGGATTGTTCGCGCCACGTCCTCCTATTCAATATAAACCACCACCTGATGACCTTTTTATCAATCGAAAACACATTCCAATAAATGGAGTTGCGGAGTACGCTCAACAATTTGAGGTTTGTTTTATTTTAAATTAGGTACTTAAAGCAGGGTTGTCTTTTCCAAACCACCAAAATGGGCGCAGCCACTCGAAAATAGGGAAGAAATAGGGCGAAAAGGCCAAAAATAGGGAAAATCCCCTATAAATAGGGTAAAAAACAACCTTAACTTAAAGGGTTTGTGTCCTTGAAAAAGATAATTTTATTTTTTCCTTAATGTGTATGTAATGGTCAACTTTCTTTTTCCTCACTTTTATTCTATTCCCATGTGGCGTATTCAAATAATAAACGTTAATAAAGAGAGGATTAAATTTATATTTGGAGAAAAATTGTTTTTCCTTTATTAATGTCTCTAATTTGAATCTACCACAGGGAAGTAGAGAAAAATTGAGGAAGAAAGGCTGACCATTCACATAATAATGGAAAAATAGAATTATGTTTTTCCAGCCGATACAGACCCTATAAGTACCTTAAATTATTTTTAAGGACCCTAAGGATGCCCCACCAAAGGTTCGTATTGAAACTCGTGACGAAAAAAGGATTCGCAAACGAAAAGAGAGGCAAGAACTTATGGCTTATAAAATTGAACAGGGAATTGCTACATGGACACCAGCAGATAATCCTAAAGCTACTGGTGATCCATACAAAACGCTTTTTGTTTCAAGAATTGTAAGTTGTTTTTTTAAATTATTTTAGTAAATATAGAATTTATTTTAGAACTATGAAACTTCTCAATCTAGACTGAAGCGAGTGTTTGAAAAGTATGGCAGAATTAGAAAGGTTTTTTTCATCTTTTTAAACTTTTATTGATATTCAGATTGAATTAATTCATGATTTGAATGGAAAGCCGCGTGGTTATGCTTTTATTGAATATGAGCACAAATCGGATATGGCAGGTTACTTGTTTTAAAATTTTAAAAAATTCAAATTGTGCTACTTCTCAAAATATACTTTCCGATAAGCTTTTGTAAAGCATATAGCTATTTAATTCCTAAGGCTGTGCAGTAATCGGCGTGGTGTAATGGCTAACACATCCGTCCGTTCTACTGAAGATGCTGGTTCGCTCCCAGCCGCCGAATAACCTTTTGCACTAGCTAAAGGAGAGAAATAGCTATAGCCCAGCTGCTTTACTCATTTATGGAGTTGATTTGTCCATTGCCAAACGAGTTGGATTATACCAAATCCATTCGGTTTATAAGGACCAGATATCCGAACTTTATCCCATCGTAATTTGATTTATATACCGAGTGTTTCTGGGTTTGTTAACTTTCGTCAATTCGGCTCGGATCCTCATTCCCCTTCATTTGACTAAAAAAATCCCCTCTCTTTTATTTCCGCTATATTGCCCCATATTTTCAGTTCACCACGGATTCTCATTTTTAACTCTTGTCTTCTTTATGTAGGTTTGTCAAGGCTTGGTAAATTTTTTGGATTTTTTATTTTTATGTTTACTTATAATGTGGTTAGGTAAGAAAGGGTAATGGACCGTTATGACATGGTAAGTAATGAAGTTTAAAATTTTTTCCAGCTGCGTATAAAAAAGCGGATGGAACAAAAATTGATGGGCGTCGTGTTGTTGTAGATTATGAGCGTGGGCGTACAAAGAAAGGTTGGCTTCCTCGGCGTTTAGGTGGCGGTAAAGGTGAAACTCGACGAAAACGGGAGTCTAAAGCAGCGTTGGCGGCAAAAGAATGGGAAGAAAGGAAGGACTGATTGTTTTTTATTGCAATTATGACAAGACTATCCTCTATTTTGATATTTATTTATTTTCAGTTTTTCATAAAAAAATGCTCAACTTTTCAGTACTTATTTTATTCGTTTTTTCGATCGATATCTTAAAACATTTAAACACATTTTTTAGATTCCTTTCAAAGAAAATCATAAAAATGACTCAATTCCTTCCTGACAATTTGCTTGGATTGTTCGCGCCACGTGCTCCTATTCAATATAAACCACCACCTGATGACCTTTTTATCAATCGAAAACACATTCCAATAACTGGAGTTGCTGAATATGTTCAACAATTTGAGGTTTCTTTTTCAATTGTTAAAAATTAAGGTAATAATTTTGGAAGTCGCCCTCCTTTTTTCCGTTCCCCTTACCATTTTGAGTTTTTTCTGTTGATATATAATTTATTATACATGTATTCGAAAGAGATATTTGTGCTTGGTCGAATGATACAAAGATTGTGCTCTTTCGAATATATACAATAATTTGCCATAAAATGAGAAAAAATAAGAAAAGTGGAAAGGAAAAAAGGGGGCGACTTCCAAACTTATCAAAATTAATATTTTCAAGGACCCCAAAGACACTCCACCAAAAATTCGAATTGAGACTCGTGATGAGAAACGGATTCGCAAAAGAAAGGAAAGACAGGAACTTATGGCTTATAAAATTGAACAGGGGATTGCTACATGGACACCCGCAGATAATCCTAAAGCCACTAGTGATCCATACAAAACACTTTTCATTGCTAGAATTGTAAGTTCTACAAAAAGGGTAATGGTCTCGATAGTGTGAGACATTTTCTAATATTTCCTACTTCTTACTAAATCACCTAAAATGGATTCATTAATCCAAATATTATGTATATAACCCATAAGATTAAATACGCGGTTCTGGAGAATCAGACCAGCTGTCCGTGTCGGTTCTTTGGACCGTTGGTCTAATTACCTTTATAGTTACGCGTAGAAATAATGTCGCACACAAACTAGGCTATTACAGAAAAAAGAGCTAATTTGACGAATTGCCTAAAAAGTATTTTTCATTAAATTTTAGAATTATGAAACGTCGGAAAACAAACTACGTCGTGAATTTGAGAAATATGGCAAAATCAAAAAGGTAACAAGGTCTTGATTAAAGTATTTTCTGATTTATTAAAGGTTGTATTGGTGCATGATAAGACTGGAAAGCCTCGCGGTTATGCCTTTATTGAGTATGAACATAAGTCGGACATGTCGGGTAAAATTTATTTTTTGTTGGCTCTATCGGGTTCTTTAAACATTTTTGAAAAGTCAAAAACGGCGCAGCGGTAAGATGGTTTTTTCGAGAACAAAAATTAGTCTTTTCTCTTTTAATTTTGATTTTCGTTATATTGCCCCAAATTTGCAGCGTTTGGGAAACGAGAGCCAATCTCTCGATGGGAAATAATTTGATTCTCAGTTCTTTTATCAATTCACTGAGTGCGTAGGTTTGTTAAGGCGCGGTAAAATTTTTGGAATTTATTTTTTGATTTTTTTTTGTATAACGCGGGTAAGTAATAAATAGTGGGTAAGTGAAAAACAGCAGGAATGCTGATGAAACCCGAATTCCTTGGAAATACATTTTCAAAAAGGTAAAAATGTAATGTAAGAAGGTAAAGCCTCGTCAGAATATTTTCGTGTCTAAAATGTTGGAAGCATTTTTTGAGTAATTTTATTAAAATAATTTTCTGTATTTTTTTGTCTTCTGACGGGTATTTCCTTACTTATATTACATACAAAAAGCGCCACAATCTCAAAGCCGAAGCAAACAGGAAAATCTGTGAGTTTCGCTCCAGACGGTATTTAAGAGTTTTTTTATTCTTGACTGCTATATACTTTAACTTTTTTCGAAAATATTTTTGGGGGTTTTAAGTTGATATTGACACCCTTGTATATTTTTGTTAAGTAAGTTTGAACTGAGAGGTTTGCTTTTTAATAAACTTGGAATTTGACTGTCTAAAAATTCTACTAGAACCTCAAATAATTATTTACAGCTGCCTATAAAAAAGCTGATGGCACCAAAATTGATGGTCGTCGCGTCGTCGTTGATTACGAACGCGGGCGCACAAAAAAGAGCTGGCTTCCACGACGTCTGGGAGGAGGTAAAGGGGAGACGCGGCGAACGCGCGAATCTAAAGCAGCGTTGGCAGCAAAAGAATGGGAAGAATCTATGGCTAATGGAAGTGAATATTCGAGGGGAGGTAGCCGAGAGCATAGACGAAGTCGTGATCGTCGAAGCCGTTCAAAAGAAAGAGATCGTCGTTAATGTTAGGATGAAAAGGAAGACTAAATTTTGTGAGTTTTAACTTCGATTAAAGAATGCGATATTTTGGCTTGATAATTTTCTATGTTTTTGTATTTCAATTTTGCATGATTAAAGTTTTGGGATAAAATTAACTACATAATGTTAACATGTCTTTATTAAGAAAAAAGCGTCCCCTCTTCTGACGTAACTTTTTAGGTATTTCATGGTTAGCCCCCATAAAGCAATAAAGAGTTATTTTGATCGATTCCGCATTAATTCAAATTTCCTGTTTTATTTTGCCCATTCTAATTAAACACTAACATTATATGTGTGTGTGGTAGGATTACCTCTACTGATGCTTGCAATGCGTACAACTGTGAAAGGTTGACGATAACAAACTTGCCTCAACCTATTTGATCATCTGGTATTTTTATAGTGCAAGTTTATTTGTTTTTCTAGCTTTTGAAGACATAGCGACTCACATTTCCAATGAATTAGAAATTTAAAAAAAATTTATTTTTGCGGACTTTGGACGTTTCTTCTAACTTTAGAGAACATTTTCTCTGCAAAATTTATCGACGTTTAATTTCAGCTGTCCTCTAACATTTGCATTTACTATTTATGTATAAAATTATGCTTCGGAAAGATAAGGAATTGAACACAGCAACCGACCCCATTCTTATCTTTGATATCGTGTCACTTAACGTAAAGTTTGGTCAATTTTCTGTCAAAAAATTGAAAAAAAATATTCTTAACTAAAAATATTTTCTTTAATTAAGAATTGAGAAAAAAATTTTTTTCTTTCAATTAATCTACCAATTTGCAATGTGATAGTTCGTGTCGGGCTAAAACGATGAACGGACAAAACACTGAACGACAAACCTCGTTTTGGTATGGCCGTATTTTGGTCGTTCTGTGTTTTAGTAAGACCGCGTTTTGTCTTTCTGTGTTTTGTCCGTTCTGTGTTTTGGAATTCCTCGTTTTACCCCTCATCCGTGAAGTTATATTTTTATTTTCTCAACTTGCCCGCGTTTATTTTACATCATTAACTAAATCGATCGTTAAGGAATAAATTTTTTGATAAAATCTTTATTTCTATTTTTTGTGTTAGAGTTCACTTGTTTTACTTTTTAAATGTTAAAAAATATTTTTATTATCGTGTCACATTGATAAAAAAATATTTTTGTTAGATTTTGGATTTGTGTCAATTACCTTTTAATGATAACTTGACAAATTTAAGTGATAACAACAGAATTTTCAAATAATTTTTTAAAATATTTCCATTAAATATGGCCAAATTATTAACTGATGAAGCTTTCCAAAAATTGTTGTTTGACCTTCTTTGTGTGTGGCACGATGTTCAGGTTTTGCTTTTGATGAAGGAATTTTTTAAAATTTTATTTAAAAAAATTTATTTTAGCGTCACTATGATCCGCCAATTACACATACTGAGGAGGAGAAAATGCAAAAGGTTTGAATTAAAAGTTTAAATGACTAAAATTAAAATTTCTTTGGGTTGTTTTAGAAATTAAAGGAGAGTTGGGAAATTAAAAATTGAAATAGGCAATTCTGGAGAATAGGGGCTTCTCCGGAAGAAAATTTTAATAAGTCCGACAGTCCGGGGTCAAATTTCGAATCGGAATTCGACTCTCAAAATTTAAGCCTAGATTCGTAAGCAGCATATTTTCTACGCTAGAAAAATCCTTTTTCTTATTTTAAAAATTTTTCTGGAAGAAGAAACCCCAATTCTCCGGGATTGCCTTGAAATAAACTTAAAAAAATTCCCTTTGTTAAGGTGAAGCAATTGATTTGTAAATTGTTGGGTGAAATTGATGGTCGAGTTAAACGCATCCAAACAATGTTGTCGACAACGCCTGATGCTGAACAAGTCTTTTAAATTCAAATAATTTTTCTTTATTTATAAAATTTAGGAGTTTATTGAAGAATGGTCTTTACTAACTTGGAATGTTCTTTGCATCACAAGTCGTTTGCAAAACGAATTAAATGTTTCCGTTAAATCGCAAGAAGATAAAGTTATTTTTAACAAACTTAATATGGCGCTGGTTGATCTTGTAAACAATTCTAGGTTGATTAGACGAGTTGAGGGTTAAGATTCTAATTTATTTTTTAGAGCTGCATTGAACCCTTTATCAGTTCATATTGATGCAACATTCGATTTATTAGCCAACTCGTTAAGCGATACTATGCATATATTGCATGGACTTTACCGAACATTAAAATCCAATAGACAAATGAATTCTGATGAGGTTCAGGATTTTGCTCAGAGGTTTGGTATTTTTTGGTACTTTACTAGTTTAAGGATACCTATTTTAAGGGAAAGATATTTCGATAAATTTTTAAAGCTATTTAAGTCATTATTATTGTCTTGTTTTTTGGGTCCAATTTTTTTGTTGGGTCTAATTGTCATCTTGATTTTTCGAAAGAATTTAACGATAATGTTTTCAATGTTTAATTAGATTTAAACTAAATTTAGGTCTATAAACATTGGAATTTTTTTATTGAAGCTAGATCTTTCCTCGGTATCCATAAATGTTATAAGATTTAATTTTATGTAAATACTAGAGATCGAGCTGGACCTGGACTAATGCCTGGGTTTTTCCTGTACCCAGAGTTCATGTCCAGGCATTTTTCGACCTTTCTGGGTTTTTCCTGGACTACAGGCCTAGGATGCAGTCCATGTCAATAAATCAAGCTCCAGGAACAAGTTCAGGCTGTTCAAAAATCTCGATCTCTAGTAAATACAGGGTGCGAATAAAATTTTAAAAATAATTATAAAGTTGAGAGTTTCAATAATTTATGGGTAAAGGAAAGAATTATCCTAATTTGTCGCACCCTGTATTTTTTATAAAAAATCTCACAGGTTACAATCTTTTTCTGATGAATATCTGAACCCGTTCGTGGAACTTTTCAAGGTGTTTTTTCTCTTCTTTATTTTTCTTTTATTAATTAGCCACCGCCATGCGCGGTGTGCATTTTTTAATACACATCCAATCTCGCTTTAGTCCTATTGTAACGAGCAAACTGTCCGTTTGTGGCAGGACTTGCGAGATATTCAAATCGCATGGTAGGTTATTGGTATTTTTAAAATAAAAATTTTATAATTAGTCGGACTTCACGTATCCATATTTCTTGGGGCTAAAGATCGGATCTTATAACGAGGGGTAGATATCGTTCTGGATCCAGTCTGGATTTTTCCTGGATCCAGAGTCCAGATCCAGGCATTTTTTGATCGTCCTGGATTTTTCTGTGGATTTTTCCAGATCCAGAATCTTGTCCAGGTTACGAACCTAAATCCAGATCCATGATTGATGAGAAACCTGAGATTTGAATATCGTTTATCAGACATTCTCCCCCCTCTACATCAACTAACCAACCAAATTTTAAAAACTAATTTTAGATTTGTATCTTATTTAGATTTATAATTTATATAAGTAGTGAAGTCTGACTATATTTAAAAATGAAAATTTTATAATTAAGATATTGTTTATTTGGTTTTCAGTTTGGTCAACAAAGTAACACTTCCAGTGGAACCTGTAGTCCGATTGGTTAGCTTCTACTCTTTTCAAATGCATCGTTTGGCGATTTTGGCTGCTAGATTACAGGTTATTTGAAATTAACAAATAAATTTTGGAAGAATTTATGTTGATTAATCGTGCTTTTTTATTTAAAAAACCCAACCAAAACTTTAATATCAAGAATTAATTTTAATATTTCTTATTTGACAGGGTTTTCGCTATGAACTCACAGTAAACCATCGTCAAATGTTTGGAGATTATGATCCTGTCAGACCTTTATCTGACAGTGTTTTTTCTGCTTTAGAATTGTTAATGGCTGATTGTGGTTAGAATATTTTTTTATTTTGAAATTATTTTTACAATTAATTTGAAGGAAGGTAGATTGTCAAAAAAATATTTGATTTTTTATTTATTTATTTAATAATGAAATTTTAAATCCAAAACTTAGTACTCGCCACTGAACCGTCAATGAATCCAATTCTCGTCACGAACAATCTCTTCTCAATTTATTGTGGTGCTTTGGCTAGGGGTGTTGTTTTTAAGCAATTCAACGTTCAAATTGTAAGATTTCTTAAATTAAATTTTTTCATTGTACTTTTTTAGGTTAGTGAAGATACGGCTGAACATATACAAGTAATTAATCTGTTTTGAATTTATGAAATATTTTTCAATTAATTTTTAGTCAGAAATGCGTAGACAACGCCTGCTCCAACAACCTTCGCCTATCGCTCAAGTTCCTTCTGCCGCATTGTTAGCTATGAAGCCAACAAGCGGAACAAAACGGTCAAATGCTCAAACAATGAATGGTGATTATTAAACATTTTATATTAAATACTATAATTGGAGCCCACCCATTTATCTGACATGAGTAAATTGATTCCTGTTAGATGAGTGTATTCTTCATTGTGGGGGTCAGGGATCCTGCCGACCCGATTCTGGGAATCAGAAATTTTGTTTTTTTATCGGCAGGATTCCTTGTGGTTATTCAAAGGCATCTCCCCTCTAGTGTGGTCCAACTACATATTTTTTTCTTACTTATTTTTTCTATTAAAAATTAGTTAATACAATAGATACAAGTGGAAACACGACAACAGCGCATAAGAAAAGTGATATAAATAGTAAAGAAGTTGTTACCATCTATCCGGCATTTAATACGTAAAAATTTTTTATATTCTTTTAAAAATAAATGCTTGATTATTTTAGTAAAAATCGTTACTGGGCTGCAATTTATCCTCATTTATTATGCACAACACGCCAAAAGGGTCGACATTCGACCAATAATTCCTACCAAGTGCATAAAAATTTATTTAATATGTTTTTATATTTTAGGATTTATCTCCGAGTGGCGTTGACCCAACAAAGTTGATAAGCGGGAAAAGGCCAATCTTCTATTTTTATATACGGGCGACAATGTTTAGCCCATCTGGACGTTTTGCGGATGCTCATACGCTCTCACTTCCATTTACTATTGCAACAAGACGAAATCAGGTATAAAAAATATTTTTCCATTTTTTAGTTAGCAGCAGGGTGGCCCTTTCCAAAACACCAAAATAGGGCGCAGCCACTCAAAAATAGGGCAAAAATAGGGCGAAATCGGCCAAAAATAGGGCAAAAAATAGGGCATTATTTAAAAATATTAAAAATAATTGAAATTTCAATTAAAAAGCTTTATTCTAAATTTTTTAACTAGGTTTAACTAAATTGAGCAAATGGAGGGATATAGGGGGATTTTGAGCAATTATTAATGGAATTGGGGTTAACAGAGTTATCTAGGGGATTTAGGATCAAGAAAGTTATCTAAGATGGATAAATGGTTAGAAACTTGTAGTTATCTAGGGATTTGTGAGGATTCAGTGAATTCGGGGGTAGAAACCTCGAGTATTTTCCGCCTATATTCCAATCAAGCCCTTCCAATCCCTCAATTTCACACAAAATCTTCACAGATTTTTTCTTTTTCAGCGCCGCAGGCAAAAATTTTGAGAATTTTGTAAGGCCAAGAAGCCAGATTTCTTCCTTTTTTGCGCCGCAGGCGAAAATTTTAGAAATTTTGGAAGGCCGTAAAGCCAGATTTCTTATTTTTTCTGCCATTTCATTATGAAATTCTAAAATTGTAAAAATTTTACAAAATGGTAAAAATAGGGCAAAAATATGGCAAATGTAAAAATAGGGAAAAAATAGGGCGGAAAGGTCGAAAATAGGGCAAATGCCCTGTAAATAGGGCAAAAGGGCCACCCTGGTTAGCAGGGATCGGGTAAACTTTAAAAAATTGGATTTTGGAATTGCTGAAATTAGTCAAAATAATTTTTTTCAATTTTGTCTAAATTCTAATTTTTCTTTTTAGGACTATCAAGTACAACGAATGATGAGTTCTTATACAGCTACTTGTTTTTGGCTCTATGGAAATAATGTTCAAGATGGTCTTTTACTTCAATGGGTGGAGGAAACTGCAATGGGATGGGAGCGCTTTAAATTTCTTTTTATGCAATATTTTCGTGTTAATGCTGAGGTGGATAGAGGATTACAAAATAGTGATTTTGATTTACTTCAAGTAAAATTTTTCTAAACTTTTCTAAAATTTACAAACTTTTTTAGTACAAAATTCAATGCAATGATTGTTCCCCTCCATCAAATATTCAAGGAATTGGAGATGAACGTTTGCTTTCTTTTAATTTAAAAATAAATTTTAAAATATTTTTTAGGCAAAATTACTTTTAAAAATATTTTGTGCCCACATTTGCGGTATGAATGTGGGTCTACAAATGTACGTTTCAGTGTTTGGAGAGGGCTTCTTGAACTTTTACAATTATTTCAAGTTTGTTTAAATTTAATAAAGAATGTCTGGAATTGAGGCACGTTCCTGGCCCTCCTTTTTCTTCCTTTTAATTTTTCTTTCCCTCTATTCCACTTATTTTACCTAACATAATACGGTTGAGTTGAAAGAATGAAAAAAGAGGGCCCACAAACCTAGCTATTGCCTTATAAACTTGCCGGATATTTTAATATAAAATTATTTTCTACTTTTTAGGACAATAAAACCTGTGTTAAAAAATTATGGGAAAAGAATTTACTGATGGGATTTATGGAATTTGATCAGGTTGCAAAACTCCTATCACCATACCCCTCTGCACTAATTATGCGACTTTCTTTTGTTACTGGTGGAACAATTTGTATAACTTTAAAATCAACGGTACATCAACATTCTTCTGGTATTGATTCAATAATTACAGACGAACAAGTAATTATTTGCTAATTTTTTAATTAAAAAAATCGATCTTACTATACTCCCTTGGGATTGGGAGATATTAATTAATTTTTTAGGGTTAATTTCCTTAGGAAGCATATCTTAGTTTCAGTAACCGTTCAAATTTTAGATGTATTAGTATACTAATACATCTACTATGTATTAATATCGGTGGTATATTCTAGTTATGTTTTATTGAGTTAACTTACAAGAAAGTTTTAGACTTTCTCAAACCCTTTTTGCAACTTAAAAAAATTTACAATTTTTTACAGACTTCCTCAACATCATATGTTGAACCAATGCATCTAGAACCTTTAGATCTTAAAAAATTGCAAGCAAAAAGTCTTGTTGAATATTTGAGAGATATTGCTTTAACAGAAAAAATAAAATATTTAATTAATGCAAATGGAGAGCCTCTTCAAATTGGCGAACTTCTTCTTGAGCAATTTAATGAAAAAAGTGCTGGTGGTGTTGGAGAATTGGAAACAAGTCGTTGTATTTCTTCTAATGTTACACATTGTGGGGATGTTGGTGCAATGCAGCAAATAACGTTAGCAATTTAATTAATTTGAAAAAATAACCTTTTGTTGACGTTGCATATTGAAGAGTGGTGAATTTAAAGATTCGAGTTGAGACGGGGGCATGGTACTAACCAGGGGACACTACATGTTTAAGGACTTTTTTGAGAGTTTTTGCCCTAAAATTTGACTTCGATCCTTTTAGGAGTAACGAAGCTTACCCTAATTTACGTTGAGCGTCCCAAAATTATCGAGACGGGTCTTCTAATGAATTAATATGACCATCATGACTCTGTTTCTAATACATATACAAAAATGACATTTTAGTTTTTCAATAGCCGTTTAATTCCTTTAGGATGCTTTTTTATTTGTTCCAGAAAATTTTTAAGTTAAATGAATTTTTTAATTTTTTTTCTTTACAGCTTCACAGCAATGCGTATAGCTGTTGTTACATGTAAAGTTAAACCTCCAAGTGCTGATATGGATTTTGATGAAGTTGTGCAACCAAAAGGTACTTCACCTGTTCCAAGTAGCAGTAGTTATTCACCTTTTAATCCTTATTTCTTTGGCGGCGGTGGAAATAATAACACAAATCAAACAAATAATTATCGTCTTCCTGCAGCTAATGATGATTTTGTACGAGAAGTTATACAGTTGTGCAATTTTTGGGGGAAATCTAAACAGGTATAGAGATAAATTCTGATTTTATTTTTACTCAAAAGTATGGAGTTCGGAATTCTGAAAGAATCATAACTGGGTATTGAGATTGAATGACTGGGGCCTGAACCATGAAACTAAGTTTTATCGTTTTCGTTTTATCCGGGTTTCTCCAAAAAGACGGAATGGGCCTGGATTAGTGCCGGAACCGCAAATTTGACCGGAACCTGATTTAATTTTTTGGTTCCGGGTCGGAACATGAAGTCTACAACCAAACCGAAATCGGAACTAAAAAATGCCGGAACTTCCGGCCTATGGGAACTGGAACTTACGGCGGAGCTCTAGCTTAGTTCGGATCCAGTTCTTGTCTCTAACGTGATCACTGGTGATTAACCAATCAATTATAATTTAGGACTTGACGGTCTTACTTGAACAAGCTGCTGAAGAGCAATTCGCAACACTTTCCCTCAACTCAGGGCATTCCTCACGTGCCCAAAGTATTTATAGAGACCCTTCTATAACTACTGGAAATGGTGGTAGAAGAATAAGTACAGGAAGTGGAATTATAGAACAACAACAACAACAAACATCAACAACCCCAACACTTTTAGTTCAACAACAACAACCAAATAATAATTCTTTTGATTTATTTTCTTCAACAAATTCAACACAATTTCAATTACAAAATAATTTTTTAAATCAACAAAAACAGCAACAAATAATAAAATTGGAACAAAGGATGTTACAGCAACAACAACAACAAAATAATAATAATAATGGACATTCCTCTTTTTGAATTTTAATTAAAAAGAAACGATTTAAAAATTAACATTTTGTTTTACAGTCGAATCTCTCCAGCATGACTTCCACCAAACGTCCCACAGAAGAAAGAACCTCTATGTATGTCTCGAAGAGTGTCATTGTTAGAGAGATTCGATTATATTCCATATTTAAAAAGGCTTTTTTAATTTGTTAATTTTTCTGAGTTTCCTTCTTTTAAAAACCCTTAAACCTCTGGGCCAAATTCAATTTTGACATTTCATTGTTACTTTTTTAATGAAAAAGAAATTAGAAAAATGAGCGTATTGACATTTATTGCTTCTCAATTTTAAAATGATTAATTTAAATTTCGGAATCTCCACAAAATTCAAAGTCTCTACAATTGTTTTCAACCGATCCACAAATTTTATTTTTTGTTTTTACACATTTCCATCTATTAATTTATACTAAACAAATTTATCAATTTTATTTTTAATATTCCAAAAATACCAAAAAAATAATCTTTTAACATTCGAAATTTAAAAAAAAAAGATGGAAAATTTTTAAAATAATCTTTTTAATGAAATTCCTTAATTAAAATTTATACTATTACAGTCGGACCTCTTTTTTGTGTTAACCTCTACTCCATGAATTCTCATTTTTATTGTGCATTTTTAATTAAATCTGGTTGCTCATTAGGTGTGGGACTTTTTTACGTACTAATTTATACCCTCCTTATTGTGTAAACCTTATCTTATTTGTTAGTTAAAATTTTTTCAGTTTCAAGACACATAACTGATGTCCGACTGTATTTTTCATTTTCTGTTGATTCTAATTTTATTTTTTTTAATTTTTACATATTTACGTATAAAAGATTAAATACTATTACCGATTAATCCAAAATTAATTATTAAATTAATTATTTAATTTATTTTTCATAATTTTTTTTTCTTAAGAAAAAAGAAAAATGTAGTTATCTAATTATCAGTAAAATAATTTATTTACCTCCTTTTTACAAAATTAATTTTATCAGTTATTTAAAAATCGAGAAAAAAAGGGGAGAATTTATTAAAGATGAGTAATACTTACAAGTAGAGTTTGCGAGGTGTCCGACCTAAAAACGGTCGAGACCGGGCTCATTCGGTAGTGAATGCCCTCGCAAATTCTCCTTGTTAACTTATTCTTCTCTTTTTAAATATTTTTTTTGAATAAAGTTGACAAAAAATTAAATTCTTTTTTTGTGTCCAAATAGAGAAAAGAATAAACCCATTCAATATTTTCGTTTGGAAATAAAGAATAAAATACAAACTATTTGAATAAAATAAATAATTATTTACATATTTTAGCTTAGTTGAAAATTCGAGAGGGAAAAGAGTTATCAATCAAAAATAAACATTTTTTTGATTTTTACTTTTTACTTTTAGTTTTAGAAAAGAAATAAAAATTTTTCTGAAAAAATATTTTTGTGAAAAAATAAGTACTTTTAAGAATCAATTAAAATAGAAATTAAATTATAGAGATAGACCTGGGATTTGGTTGGGTCTATAACTTCATTTCTCCTGGATCGAGAATCAAGATGATAGCATTCTTTAGTGTTCCTTGATTTAAAGTCAGGAATCTGGTTGAGGTCCTTAACTAAAATCAAGTTCAAGATCATTTTTAAAATTAACCAAAAATTAAATTTAGGTCTATAAATGGTTTTCTAAATTTTATATTTTTTCTTTAATATAATTCTAATTAAAAATTAAATAAAAAATAATGTCAATAAATTCATCACAATCTATTTTGGAAGTTAATAACAACAACAATATTAATAATTTAAATAATACCTCACTTCCACTAAATACTCAATCACTTTCTCATGTAAATTTTAATAAAAAATTAAATTATAACAAAAAATATTAAAAAAGATATTCCAAACCCAAAATTTTCCAGGATCAAAACTAGTATTGTTAGCGATCGGTTTTAAACTGGAAATTTCTAAGGAACTTTTTGGATATGCCGCCTCCTCCCTATTTTGAATCTAGCGATAAATTATTCTTTTTGTCTTCATGCCTATCGAATGACATATCACGTTCCGAACTTTTACCTCCGGTACACTACACTATATCCAAAACCGGTATTTAACTGAATCACATCTTTAATCAAGACCTTTAGAAAATTCCAGAATCCTTTTTAAAAAAATCTAACTAAGAGTTTTCCCTGTTTTCAGTCAGCTCTCACTTGTACTACACCTCTCCGAAAATTTAACGTTAAAGTGAGAGTGTCTTACAAGTGAGGGCCCTACTCTAATATTTTTTTAATTTTCTAAAGATTTTTGGCCCCTTTTTTCGCTCAACAAAATTTTTTACAAAAGATGCTGAATTGGCTAAAAATAAATTTAAAAGAATAATTTTGTTATTATTTTTAATATTATTTATTTTGAGAATTATTTATTATATTATTGAATTATTTAGAACACAAGTAAGGGATTTTTAAAAAATTCGTAATAGTCTCGTTTGTGCGGAACATTTTTAGTATTTCCCAATTCATTATAAATCCAAATCTATAAAATTAAGTCCCCAGCTCTAAGAATAAGTCCGACTATCTACAACGGTGCTGTGCACAATAAGGTTGGCGGATCATGGGAAATTCTCGGTTATGCGGATCAGACATGCACGAAATTCCAAAATTTTTTCAGACGAAACGAAACAAAATTTTTTAAAAATCGTTTCGTTAACGAAACGAGACGAAACAGTAGAAATTTAGCGAAACGAAACGTTTCGTGCATGTCTGATCCGGATCCAATATCCGAAACGAAAATTTCTGGATAGGATATCCGGCCTTTTTCGGGTCCGGATATTCGGATCCGCCAACTTTAGTGCACAATGTGAGTAGAATATTTATGAAGATAGAAATCCACTACTTGACAAGATTGTATCGAACACACGCCCAAGCGTTGGTTTGACATACAAAAACAAGGGCTTGAATTAGGGCCCTAAAGACTATATAGAAATGACAGTTTTGTCCCTCATTTCTTTCCATTGTTCCTCATAGGATAATGTTGCACTCAAACGAGACGATTACGAAAATATTTTTAATACAATTTCCTTTAAAAAAGAATTTAACATTAACTTGGGCTAGAACAAGTTTACAATTAACATTTACTTTGAATGCTTTGAGTTGTTTTGGTTGGCTTTACAGATATGGAAATAATTATTTTAATAAATTTATTTTTGGATTACAAAATGTTTATAACAAAAATGGAAATTATTTTGTAAATTTTTTTAAAATTATTTTTAAAAATTAAATAGAAGGGTGGGGGAATAATACAGATTATAAATACACTTTAAAATAGCCTCCAATATTAATTAGTTTTTAAATTTGATTGGAAACCGAGTGAGGGGGCATACCGTAAAACTGAATAATTACCCTGAGTAATTATTGATAATTAGAATTGGTATAAAATAATTAATATTAGAATTGGAGTAATAATTAATAGAAGTAGGGTAATTATTTAAGGGAGGGCAATTAATACAGGTTATATTTAAGGTACCTTAATTTAAAGTACCCCTTTTAAATTCTATTTTTTGCACCGCCAAGCAGGAATTTAAACGGTAGATTTGACTGGTAAAAAATCCTTTTTAACTGTTTTTCCTGAACCTCCGAAATACCTCCCCCTTTACTATCCTTCCTTTTTTTAAATATTTTTTAAAAAATAAAAATTTATTTAAGCAACAACAACAACAACCCCACCAATTAACCCCTTCATTTATTCGTCCATTTATTTTTTCGTTTATATTTATTTTTACGAGTATTATTTGGTGTTCTTTACAAATATTACAAATACAAGAACAAAAAGGATTAAATATTACTAATGTTAATTTAGTTGAAGAAGAAGAAAATAATATGTAAATATTCTGATTTAAATTTTAAATTGAAATTTTGTTTAAAAATGCTCAGAACAAATAAGACCCAAAAAAAGGAAATTTGATAAATTTTCGAAAAAAATTTATGGGTTTAGGATACGCGTCCAGGGCTGGGCGCAATTGTGGATTGCGTGAAATTGCATGTTTTTTTTGACTTGCGGATTGCGTTTGCGGATTTTAAAATTGCGGTTGCGCCAGCCCTGTCCTGGACAGCAAACACGAAATTAATGCATTGCTGGGTATTTGGCATTTGTTGGTTAAAAGCCATACCCAGAGCACTGATTGCCAGAGCACTGTCTGTTTTCAAAGAAACGGATAAATCCCCGTGGAACACACGTTTTAAAATAAAAGAATCAAAGTCAAAATTAATCCTTCTAAAAACTCCTTTACACTTTTTTCTTAAAAAAAGATTTTCTTCTATTAATTAATTAAAATTATTCTAATTTCCAGTTATCCAACATCAATTAAAATATTTTTGTATTCAATATTTATTTTATTAACTTCATTTTTGTGTGCATATATTGGGGCTATTTCTCTTGGAATTTTTCATATTTCGTTTAAAACAGTCCTTTTACATTGGGAAATTTTTAAAAAAGAATTGTTTATGCCTGCAATTGAAAATGGACAGATTATTGTAAATTTAACAGTAAACCCCTCATATAAGATACCCCCGTAAATATATCTCGATTAAGAGACGTCTTTTTAATAATTTAAAAAAATTAGGTCTTGGATTAGGTTCTGCCTTCACTGGCCCTAAAGACTATATCAGACAGACTTCGGGGCGGGGTCGGGGATAATTGTGAAAAAATTGTTCGGGAACGAGGTCAGAGTAGAGGATTGGTGGGGGACGGTTCCCGACGGGATTTTTCGAGATTTATCCCTCGGGATCCCGTTCCGTCATCGGTTAAGGAAAAAAATCCCGACTCGGTATCCCGGAAGTTCAATTTTGCCGGTCTTTAGTCAGAGTACAGGATCGAGAGCAAATCTATGTAGTTATAAGATACGAGCTTCCCAAGGGTATCTTATAATGCCCTCCATCTATAATTAATTTAAAAATAATATTTTTCAGAATCCAAATATATTTAACCAAATAGAGATGTCTATCAGTTCTTTATTAATTCTGTCACATAATATAAGCAATTTATTAGCTTCATTAGGAATGAGTCTTTTTATGAATGCTATTTTCTTAAATATATCTGCTGGTTTTATTTCTGGAGGCGGTGGAGAAGGAAGTGGAGGAGGGGGTGGTGGGGAAGGTAAAGCACTATTTAATCTTTCATTTAATTTTTTAAAAATTAAAGGCAGTTCTTCCCTTCTTTACAATATAATTTACCATATAAATAATGTTAATTGGAGTGTGTTAAGTATTGTTTTGCTAATATATACATTGAAAGGGCCCTATGATGTTCACTCTATTGTTTGTTAAAAAATTTTTTTTGAGGATTTTTTTAATTTTTTTATCAGATTCAAGAAATTAAAGACCAATTATTACTAAATGAAAATATTTGGGAAAAAAATGATGAGACAAAATTAAAAGTAAATTTAGGGGAAAAATTTTATTTAAGGAAAAAAATAATTTTTTAAAGTTTTGTGAACGCACAAAAAATTTAGTTGAACGAATCGAAGGAATTAAAATTCATAGAATTGATCAACAATTATTTAATTTGGTAAATTAATAAATTAATTTAAAAATAATTACTATTTTTAAAGGTATTTATTGCGCAAATGGTGTTATTGTGGTTACTTGTTGCTTATTCTAAATATTCTAAAAAATAGAAAAAAGGGAGAAATATGTGAAATACGAGAGCTTATTTAATAAATAAATAATTTTATTAAATTTTTTCAATAAAACATTATAAAAGCAAATTGTTGATTACATTCGAATCTCGTTTTTTCACATCCACGGAGTTAAAAAATAACCTTGTAATAATGGAAACCGGTAATCTTCTAGTTTACTGGTCCAGAAAAAAAATTAGGAGCAAATGATGTTTAGCTATTTTTGAGGGTTACCAGTAGGTAATCGAATGTGCTGAGTTCGAATCTGAGCTTAGAATGGATTATTTTTGAACCCCGGATCCGAATTTGACAAAGTCGGATTCGGGTTAAAAATTCGAAATTAAAAATTTAGGACTATTATTACTCCTCTCCTCTAGCGGAGTTGAACGGTATCAAAATCATGATGTTTCGACAACTTTGGACGAAGTTAATGTGTCTGATTTGTATACGGAAGTCCTACCAAGCGTGTATTTAATTGATCATAACATCGTCTAAAATTGTCGAAGCATCATAATTTTGGTAATCATGTAGAATCTGGGATACACTTAAAAATTTGCTTGTTTTTTTCTGAAAATCATTTTTTATATGTAATCGACCATGCTGAGTCCGAATCTGAACCTAGATTTTATTTATTTCAAACCCCGGACCCGATTTCGACCATGTCGAATTCGGGGTAAAAAATTCGAAATTAAAATTTTAGGGCTAATCTGACACGCCTATTCGAGCTGAGTCGATAGGTATTAAAATTATTCAGTTTCGACAACTTTGGACGAAGTTATGATCAATTAAATAACGTTGGGTTAGACTTCCGAATACAAATCAGACACCATAACTTCGTCCAAAGTTGTCGAAACTGAATAATTTTGATACCAATCGACTCAGCTCGAATAGGCGCTTCAGATTAGCCCTAAATTTTTTATTTCGAATTCTTACCCCGAATTCGACTTGGTCGAATTCGGTTTCGGGGTTCGAAATAAACAAAATCTAAGTTCAGATTCGGACTCAGCATGGTCGATTACCTATACAAAATTATTTTCAGAAAAAATATTAAGTCTTAAAGTATTTTTTAGGTGTATCCCAGATTCTACATGATTACCATAATTTTGATACCATTCGACTCAGCTCGAATAGTCGTGTCAGATTAGCTCTAAATTTTTAATTTCGAAGTGTTTACCCCTAATTCGACATGGTCGAATCCGGGTCCGGGGTTCGAAAATAATCAATTCTTTGCTCAGATTCGGACTCAGCACACTCGATTACCTACTGGTGACCTTCAAAAATATCTAAACATCACTTACTCCTAATTTTTTTTCGGGACCAGTAAACTAGAAGATTACCGGGAAACCTTAAATTTGGGGTATTGCTTCCCTCATCCATCCAAATCATTTTCTCGCCAATCATTTTCTCGATTAATTACCCTGGGGAATTATTTTTTCAACCCTTCCTTGGCATGGGGAATTAATCGAGGGAGGGGAATTATTTGAGTTTTGGCATTTGAACGTGCAGTAGGGTATTTGGGGGTGGGGAATTATTGCTTCAACCCAACTCTAGCATGGGGAATTAATCAAGAGGGGGAATTATTCGAGGGAAAGGAATTAATCGAAAAAATACGGTACTACTTTGATTCAATCCCCAAATCCATAAATCCTAATTTGGTAATATTTTTTCTAGAAAATTCTAAAAATTGAAAAGTTGTTAAATTTGTATAAAAAAATTTCTAAAAAACAAAATTTATTAATCCTCTTCTTCTCCTTCAATATCATCATTATCATCAGATTCACCCTTTTCATCATCCCTCAATCCACTAATATATCCCTGTATTTGCAATCCCAATAAAGTAATAATATCAAATAAATGCCCATCTTCTTCATAATTTGCTTGCTGTAAAGTTTCCAAAATTTGTTCTTCTTGAATTATAAATAAACGTTTTCTTTTGATTTTTTTCTTTTGTGGAGAGTTAATTGGGGTTTGAATAATTTCTAATTGTTTTTCAATATCTTTAATAAATGTTGTTAAAAATTCGGAAAGTGGAGGACGATGAATTGAATTTTTCTTTAAATTAGAAAAAATATTTTTTTGTTCTGTATTAAAGAATTTTTTAAAAATTAGTTTTCTAAGCCAGATGCTGGTTTTATGGATTTAGTGAATAGTTAAGCTAAAGCATGTTTTTTAAAAAACACCTCAAATTTTTTAAATTTTCCAAAAAAAAATTTTTTTTAAGCAAAGAATCTCTTGCTATTAATAAAAAGTTCAAGTTCAAATTTTAAATAAATCCCCGAAAGTAGGGTAGACTTTAGATTGATGACATTCTAAGTAGAGACCGGACAGAGGGGTCGGTTTGTATTTTTTCGATAGACATCGAAAAATATCGAAAAGATATCGTATCGATCTGATCTCTAATTCTAAGACTAATAGATTTTTAAAGAGGTTTTGTCCAGTGTTCATAAATTTCAATTTTGATCGTACTCGTACTTCGTACCACCCCTATTTTTTCTCGTACTCATACTTTGTAGCAAAGCACGAGTACGAATTTTGTTACGAGCTTATGAACACTGGTTTTGTCTCAGTACAATTTCTGCTATAAATCTTAAATGTTCTTTTTTTTAATTTGGAATAACCCATTTTTCTCGATAAAAAATTTTTTTTAAATTTACCCCGACAGAATTAGAAACTTCAACATAATTATTAGTTCTAATAACAGATGAATGTATTCTTTCATAAACATTCCAAAATTTAATAGAATATTTTGGTTGACAAAAAATAGGTAATTCCCAATCTGGGGGCTCTCCAGGTGAATTAATTTTTAAAAATTGTTTAATTCCACATTGTTTTTGTGTCAAAGTTAATCCAATATAATTTTTGGCAAAATATTCTAAAAAAGAATTTAATTCGTTTGGAGAATTTTGAACAATTAAATAGAATGCACGACGAACATGTTGTTGTGGAATTAATGGAAGAGTTAAAATATTTCTTTAAAAAAGATGGAAAAAATTAAAATAATTAATTAGAATGATATTTTAAATGGAATGAATGCTTTTTAAAGATGAGGTATTTACTAGGAAAAGAATTTACTAGAGTGCCCTGTTCTTAAAGGTAGGACAAGACTTTAGACTTTATTTTCATAAACCCCTCGTAGGAAAAATTATCATGCTAGAATTGATATTATTTCAAATCTAATCCAGATACTTGTGGTTAAGGGTTTAACTGAAATGAGGTCCCACCCAGCAATTTAAGTGATCGAGTTTTATCGAAACATCTCGGTCTCAATTGATTCTCAATACGAAAATTTATTTGATTTTTGAAGCATTTAAATACTAATAAATAGTAATTTGTTCAATGGCGGAGCAGGAAAGTATTTTTAATTTTCTTAAAAATAGTCTCAATTTACCTAAATATTTTGATAGAAATTTTTCCAATAATTTGATCAGAATAAAGATTTTGCATTCCCAAAAGTCTCCATTTTCGTAACAAATTTTGGCCAAAATGAAACATACTTCCATAAAACTGGGCATACGGAAAAATCTTTTTTTAAAAAATAATTTTTTTAAATAAATTTAAATAATTTACTTGACTAGCTGCTTTAAACGAAATAAAATCAAAATCAAAAATAATTTTGAGAAAAGCCTTTGGTTGTTTAATTAAATTTTTTATTGCATTTAGAGACTCTTTAAAATATTTAATTTCTCTTTTAGGCAAAATACATTGAATACAGACAACAATTTTTTCATTAATTTCTGTTGAAATTGTAAAATTGTGTGACCATTTGAAGGGTATAAAATTGCTTGAATTAATTAACCATAAATTGTTTGTTTCGAGTAAATTGAAAAGCTAAAAAAATTAAAAATTTTTAAATTTGAATAGTCGACTCTCATCAAAAAATGCCCTTAAAATTTGGTTGACTATGTGAGTAAGGTTGGCGGTTCCTGGGAAATCTTCGGTTATCCGGAACAGGAACCGATATATTTTCGACCGAAAATTTTCGGTTGTCCGGTCTTTTTTCGGTTCCGGCCAACCTTACATGTGAGTAAATAGAAGCTGCAAATTTTTTTTCGATCAGAATCCGTCCTGACCCGAAAAATTTATTTAAAAATTAATTAAAAAACCGAAGGATGAGAAAAGAGTAGAACAACATCTTCTTCCCCTTGTCTATAAAATCTGCTATCATAAAACAAAATATTTTGGCCTTTAAAATTTAAAAGAAAATCAGGAAATTCAATATCCAATAAATTATTTGCAGTGTCAACGTTTCCAAACAGGCGTCTTCGGTGCCTTAAAAATAAAAATATTTAGTTATCCTTTCTAAATAAAAAAATTTTATTTTAATCAGGCATGTTTTTGGGTATGGATATATATTTATATTTTAACAATCCAAAGGTTCCCCCAAATCACAAATCAGAGATGGGTCGGAATTCCGATTTCCGGCGTTTTTTTCCTTCCGAGTTCCGACTTTTGAGCCAGTTCCGATTTCGGCTCTTCCGATTTCCGACACCTCTGACTGTTCCGACCCACCCAAGTAAATTTTTATTCAAATAAACCTATAAATTAAATGTCCAAGTGCCTGATCACTTCCCATTTCAACAGAAACATCATCAGAAATATTCGATTTAATATCAGCTACTAAAAGCGAAGCTTTCTTTTTTGGAGTTTGTTCAATTTTTTGTAAAATTTCTTTTCTTCTTTCTTTTGCCAATTTTTTTGAATAATTTGGGGAATGATTGTGCCCAGAATTTCCTAAAATTCCTTCAATAAATTTTGACGATTCTTTCCAATTTTCCATTGAAATTTTACATGAGGCTGGACATTTTCTTTGTTCACAACGAAAATTAATTACATTAGTTCCTCTATTACGAGTAAAACAATAACCTTTTTTTGTTAGAAAATATTAAACTTTAATCTAATTTTGAGAAAATTTTTTTAAGTTTTTTTAATATTGACGTCCAAATTGATGGCTCTCCCATTGTCAGTAAAGAAAATATTTTAGTAGAATATCCAATAGGTTTGTTTAAACGAAGAATAATGAATCAGGATATACAAGGATTTCCCAGGGACCCACTAAGACAAGTTCAACCCCGATTTTAAACCCATACACGATTTCAGGCTTCTAAGTAAATTTGTCTTCTGCCAACTGAAATCTACCAAACTATTATAGTATTCTACCTAATTTCCAAAACTATTTTTAAAATTAAAAAAAAACCTTCATGCCAAAGACACAAATTTCCTCTATTTGTTTTTCCAGTTTCAAACAGAACAACATCTTGTAATACTTCTCCACCTCCCTCAACATCAATTTCCACATTTTGTTCATTTAAATAAGATTGTTCTTCGTTAAAATTTCTTTTTTGACCTGCCGAATTTTTTTGTTGATTTGCAATCATTTTCTCTAAAAATAAAAAAAAATTTTTGCGAATCATAAAAATAACCAAAAAAATAAATTGTTTGAATAACTAAAATTAAATTAAAAATTAATTTAAAAAATATTTTTTTTATTTATTTTGAAATAATTTAAAAATGCAGCTACAAATTAAAAATATTATTGTAAAAAGAGAATCGAAATAAATTTTAAGTAATATACACAAAAGTGAATAGATTTTTAAAAAAATATGGCAAGAATTTTTACAAATTTTATTTTAAAAAATAGCTGGGAGCTATTAAAATTATGGGAATAATTTAAATTATTTTTCAAAAAATTAGGGAGGCACAAAAATAATAATAGAGAAGAGCAAATGTGAAAGTAAATAATTTAAAATGATTAAGATGGGGGTTTTCAGAAATAAATTAAATAGATTAGCTTAAGAGCCTTTGGATAAACAGGGAAAAATGTAAAAATCCGAAATATCCAGAAAATTTGGCAAAAAATCCGAAAAGCTGGACAACAATTTTCCGAAAAATATTTGAGCACAACCTTGTAGTGCCCCAAATTTCCTGAACTAAATTGACTAGACTTTACAAAAAACATTGAAGCCAAACTTTCTAGTGCCCCAAATTTTCCAAACCCAAACCTAAAGGCTTAGGAAAATTAAAACAAAAAAATTTTTTGATATTCTATATCCATCTTAATTCGTTCTCGAATGTATTGCTAAATTATACATATTATAAAAAATACTCGGTAACTAACTAAATAAATATATTTAATTATTACATAAATATTAACCTTCAAAATCGTTGTAAACCTTGAAAGATAAAATTCAAAGTTCCAAAATTTTTTTTTAATTTATAAAAGAATCACTTTTATTTTTTAAATTAATTTTTTATTGTTTGTTTTTATTGGCACTGGTTCCATCATTTTCACGTTTGTGACAATGTAAAAGAGCAGAACGTATTAAAGCAAAAGGAAAACACTAAAAAATATTTTTTTTAATTAATTAAAAATTACAGAAAATGCCAACCTTTTCCATTAACCCATAATTTAGCCATGGAGAGCTTCTTGCCAATTGATCTAGCAATAAATATACAGATGATTGAAATTGTTGTCGTTGCCCTCCTTTAATTTTATCCGAAGATGTAGAATTAATGTTAATATTTCCGTTAACATTTTGAAGTAAACTGCTAGATGCTAACTGAAAAACATTTAGAATTTTAATTTTTAAATTCAATTAAAATTTTTCAACTAAAAATAAAATTTTTTTGTATAAGAGTTGGGTAAATGCACTGAATAATATATTTATTTCAATGCGACCATTACTCTTAACAATATTTTTGGCGATTTTCGGCCCATTCAAGACATGTTTGTGCCTTGACTGGTTCCTACACGCCAACAAGAAAACATTATCTACCAAAAGGAATAGAACCTCACTCGTTTGGATAACAACATTGTTTTACCAGACAAGGACAAAACCACTTAACCACAACGCGAACAGATCAACAATTTATTTTTGACTATAAAAAGCTATTCTATGCTAGGGATGTTACAAACGAAAAACTGAAGAAAATTGAAAATAAAAACGGAAACGGAAGGGTCAAAAAAGACAAAAGTAGGCGAAAGCAGACCGAATCCCTACTCGATACTTATTTTTAAAATTATTCAAAAATAAAAATAAAAATTTAGAAAATACCGCTAGAAATTCATGCATTCGTTCAGCAGTATCTCCACGTTGATGTAGAAAAAATAATGCTCCAGTAATTGTATTTACAGCAAGAGTGATTGTGTGAGAATTATTTTTGGTAACTAAAAAGTATTTTTTAATCATTTTTAGAACTCAAAAAAATTATACCGGAGAGTGACGCTTTATAACAAGATTGGGGATTGAGTGCCAAATGAGGCAAAGAAATGGCAATAAAAACAATAAGTAGACAAGAAATTTTGTAATGCTAAAAAAGGAACCTTTAAAATATTTAAAAAATATCAACAAAACCTCATTTGGGTCATCCAAACCATTTGTATTAGCCTGTTGTTTAATAGCATTTGCCAAAGCTAAATCAACATCTAATTTAAAACCTGAAGCAGCACAAGCTTCTCCAATATTCTGAAATTAATTTTAAAAATATTAAAAAAAAATTTCTCGTTACAATTTTTTGTAGTTCATCCAAAGGAGAATTAATTAAAGAAGATAATGAATTAATTAAAAAAGGCGCCCTTTGCTTTAAAACATCATTTAATGCTGAAAATAACATATCTCGAAAAGCACAAATTTCACCAATTATCTTTGAAAAATCAAATAAAATTTATAGAAAAGAATTTTTAAAAACAATTACAATAACTCTCTGCAACATTGAATCTAATGGGGAAATGCCATGAGTTGTGTTGGTGCTACGTTTTTCGTTTTTGTGACCGCTTCCACCAGGTGAGTCTAGTGAAGTACTTAAGGAAGTAACAATCTAAAAAAGAATTTTTGTTTTTATTGAAGAGAGAAGTTGTTTAGAAGGGGAAATGAAAGGAAAAACAGAGCCAGGGAGGTAGGGGGCGCCTTCGGATTTGCCCCCCCCCCCGAAAAAAATCCTGGCTACGGGCCTGCATAGAGGGATAAAATACAGGGATGTGCCGGTCGCTTTCGTCGAATTTTCGCCTTTTTTGGTCTTCCGCTTGTTAATTTATCTTTCACAAAAAAGGCGAAAGTTGCTGTAAATAATAAAAGACAAAAATACCAAAAAACCTCACCTCTTTAAGTTTTTCAGGTTTATCATAATTAACACGAGCAATATGTAACTGTTCATTATGTTCTCGCACAATTTTGAAAAGTTCTGTAATTTGACTTGCAATATGCCAAACAAGTTTTTCTTCCATAAATTTAATTCCAAATGGGCCGATAATTTGTGATAGAGAACGAAGTTCTAAAAAATTAAAAAAATATTTTTTTGAGTAAATTTTTACAGAATTAAACCTCTAGGATCAGTAAATCTTTCAGCTCGAAAAAGTTGAGTAGACGAATTATTGTTGTTAACTGGTGTGTCCAAACTTGGATTATTAACAAACGATTGCATATGTTCAGAGTAGAGAAGATGGCAAGTACTCGCTTTTCGAAGTAAAACCTCCAAATACCTTTTTAGATAAAAATTAGGTTAAAAAAGGATTTTAAAATTTAAATTATTTATAAAATTTAATTTAAAAAAATAAAAAAAAATATTTTAAAAAATACCATTTTGAATAAATTTCAGCAAGTGTTTCATTCCCTTGGGCATCCTCTCTTTGTGACTGTTGCAAAAGTGTATCATTAAAGAGACGAGTTAAGTCAAAATTGTCTAGAAAAAATAATTTGAAAATTAATACAAAACACGAGGTTGGAAATTCTTAAAAAGTCTTTGGGTTCCCTACCCGCAGCCCAATTCTAAAAAATAATTTAACTGATTTAGTCAGAATTATTTTAAAAAACAAACAAAAAATATCCAAATGTTGTAAAGCATTCAATTGAGCACTTAAAAACGCTAACATTTCAGAAGGCCTTCTTGGACATTCTAATGGTTGTTGCTGCTGTTGTTCATTGTTTGGATGTATATAACGCAAAAGAGAAGTATTTAAATATTTTTCTAATTGACAAAAAAGAAATTCCCGAGGAACAAAAATATGTCCAGAAATATTTAATTCTTTTGTTGTTGTTAAGGATTGACAAAGTTCTCCAAGATATAAATTGTTTGAATCATTTGAGGAAATTGGTTGACCAGATTGGCGAATACTTTCAAACCCAGGCATTTTCATTTCATTTTTTCCTAAAAATTAAGAAAATTAAAATTCTCAAAAATCTTCTTTAAGAAACCTTGAAATTCTAAAGCAAACATATTTGCACAAGCTCTAGGTTCCGTGCTAAGAACTAGCTGTTGTCCATCAGCACATACTTTTGAAAATATATCGACTGTTTTACGAGAAATTTCTTCCAAGACAATATTACAAGAAGTGAGTCATAAAAATTAAAAAATATTTTTTTAATTAATTTAAAAATCAAAACCTTTTTCAATAATTGTATCATTCTCTTCAGGACATAATTCATGTAATGGACTATTAAAATGAGCACAAATGTGAGCAAATGTAATAGAAAAACGTGATTGGAGAGGAAAATCCAAACAATTTCGTAAATGTAAATCGAAAATACGAGGGTAAAAACTAAAGATTTAATGATTAAATTAAATTTTTTTGATTTGGGGATTTTGTTAATAACTAGAATTGAAAATCTGAAATCCAGTAACAGGAAAGGGTTCAGAAGCAGGAACATGACGGGATCTCGCTGGGATTAATTTTGTAAATCTTAAACATGGTAATCTCGTTTGTTGTTTAAAACCGGTCACTCGCAAAATTCCAAACAGGATCCCGCAAAAGCTGGAGCTTAGGAACGCTCCGCACTCTATTAATAATAGGGTTCAACAGCCTTCCGGGGAAGAGAATTCCCCAAAGAACGGGAGGACTAATCTTTTTCAAGATTCCCCGTGGGGTCCTCGCCTCGTAAAATTGAACCCAATTTAATAACGAACAAATCAAGTATATATTTCATAATTTAAAAATTTACCAATAAATACTTAAATCACTAGTTTCTCTTAATAATTCGTCTAAACCATTCCCAATATGCTTTAGATGAAAAAGTGCTGTATTCATTGCAACAGCAAAATTGGCATGAACTTGAAGTTTAAAAGTTGAACGTCCAATACTTGTTAATGCTTGAAAACGAAACCAATCTAAATGAACTCCACGAGAGTCTATTCCATCTTAAATAAATAAATTTATATTTTGAAAAAGAAGATATTGAGAATAATTGATAAAGTTTGAAACTCTAAACAGATAAGAATGCCTGAAGAGTTCCTAAAGTCCTCAAACGATTAATTTCAAGACACATTTATTTTTTTAATAAAGTTTCTATTTTGTATCAAAAACTCGAAGGTTCCGAAACTACGAGGGTTTAGAAATTTAGAAGCACAATATGAAGAGAGGTTAACAAAATTATAGAAATGGAGCACAGCCATCTTAATTAACTTTATTTAGAATTGATCCCAAAAAAATGTAAAAATATGTATTAGTTTTCACCGGAACCGAAATTTTGACCGGAATCGGATCCAATTTGAGTTCCGGTTACCGGAACCAAAAAAAACCGGAACTTCCGATGAAACTCTAAAAAATAAACTAACAAAAAATAACAAACCAGAAATATTAGCCAATGCCTGAATACAAGAATGAATTAACAATTGTTCATATTCTGATAATCCACTTCCTCCACTAAAACGCTGAGAAAGTTCTGTAAGTAAAGGAGCATCATAACCAGCAATATATTGAATATAATAACTAGATATTAAATCAGAGTTTTTTAAAACTAAATTTCGAACTTCAGTCAAATAATATAGCAGTTCTGGAAGAAATCTAAAAAAAATTAAATATGAAGTAGCATAGCATAAATAGAAACTATAAGAAATTTTACTTTAGATGAAAAAGCACGGTTTAACTACTATTGAGCTTTGTTCGTGGGCTGGTATGCGGGGTTTTCTATCTTTTCAGAGTAGGAATATCAAGTTTTATTCGACAATTGTAACAAAAAAATCCCGAAAAAAAGATTTTTTTATTAATAAAAAAAAGCTTATAAAAAATTGGAAACATAGAGTTGTGTTGTGAAACAACCCTAAATTCAGATAAAACCCAAATTTTTAGCAGTTCTCGTTAAATATTAAATTTAGCTTATTCTTACTTGTCCACAACGATATTTTGAAGACCACTTTTTTGAATTGCTTTTTTATTCGCAGGAGAATATTGTAATAATAACTGTTGCCAAACATCATAATGTCTAAGTAACCATTGTATTTCGTCTCTAGCCATAGATAGACCCATCCAAACAAAAAGTATTTTTGGTCCAAGAAGTCCAGGTTCATCTACCAACAATAAATACAATTCTTTTAATGCCATACGTAAAAAATGCCTTCGATGAGCATGTAAATGGCCACTAAAAAGTTTAAAAAATTATTTTCTAATTAATTTACCAAGTCTGAATCGCCAAAATATTAATTTCTTTCAATTCATTCAAAAGTTTATTTTGGTTTTTTAAAGGCTCCAAAACAGTTGAAATCATTGAAAATGTGAAAATAGTTTCATCTCTAAATAACCGAACAGCCAAGGAGTGTTGCATTGCTTTTTGAAAAAGTTGGAGAAGTGAAGGATCAGAAAGGAGACGAGGACAAAGAGAAACTCCGACTAAAAAATATTTTAAATTAATTAAAAAATTATTTTTATGGGTACAGCCCAAAACAGTGCGCGGTCATAACGGCGCAAAGTATAACTTAACGAAAAATTTTCGGCCCTTATCAATTTTGGTACTAACTCTTTAGCTCGATGAGAGGAATCGTTTAATGGTAAATTAGTAATATTAGGAAATTGTGACGCAAGTTATGGCTTTGCGCCTTTAAGGCCGCGCGCCCTTTTGGGCGTGTCCCATTTTTTTCTATCACTAACAAATAATCCAACGATCCATTGTGTCAAGTGACATATACTCACAAGCAATCTAAATTTAAAATAATTTTAATTAAAAAAATAATTTTCTTTAACAGTATTAGTTTGTGCAGCATACAACATATGTCGAGGATTTGCAGTAAGCGAAATCATAGCAGAATCCCGTTGTTGTTCAGCAGAGATATTTCTTCTAAAGTAGGTTTCTTTTAATGATTCGAGGGCAGAACTGATTACCTTAAAAAATATTCTTTTTTTAGAAATTTTTTAATTAAAAAAAGTTGTTTTTAAGAAATAAATTTTAGAAAATCCTAAAATTTCAAAAAAAATTTTTTTTGAAATTTCTGATTTTCTAAAAATTTTTTTAAAAAATAATTCAAAAAAAATTCCAAACTCTATAAGAAAGCCCCAAATCTTCAGAAAGTTTCTTAAAAGGTTGTTCATAATCCACAATCATTTGTCCAAGTCTAGGAAAAGATGTTTCACTTCCAGTATGTAATATATCATAGGCAGCTGCATAAAGGCCCAAAACTGTTTTTCTGTCCTCAACACGTGAAAGAAGAATCATCAAAGAACAAAAATTGACTAACAAATTTAAAAAGCTTGTTGTCAAGTCGAGATTTTGATTCTATAAATTAAAATAAATTAAAAATTTATTTAAATTTTACACAAATAGACTAAAAATAAACATAAACGTCTCGCATAAAAAACACAATATTTTTAGACCCCAAATGTCCCGTTTAGCCCGCCTTAATAGGCTGTTCTGGTTTCAATAAATTTTTCTGAATTCCTCAAGGATAAAATTTTCGGTTTGGATCATAGGAGATTTTCGGTTTCGGAGATCCGAAAATTTTACAAAGCCCGACTACACATCTCATGTCAGGAATGCCTAAATTTTCCATTTTTCTCGCAGGATGCACATCAAGTAGAAAAAAATTGAGATATTTTTCTGAAGGAAATCCTCCTTGACATTTTCTTCAAAAAATAATTTTAAAAATAAACTAACAATATTTAATCGGCATTGATTAGCATCCATAGCAGTAAAAAGCTGCAAAATAGCATCCTTCAAATCCAACAAATCCACAAATGTGTAATAATACAAAGACAATTTTTTGATAATATTCCCCTTCATATCGTTAATGGATGAATAAACTGTCTAGAAAAGTAATTTTGAATAAAAAAATTTATTTTAAACTCACAGAATTTCGTTTAATATCAATCACAGGAAATCGTTTAACAATATAAGAAATAGCCGATTCAAGTGTTTTGTCGTTAAGAAATTGTGGCTGCGATTTTGGGTCAGCACAGGCTTTCTTCTGTTAAATAAAGAAATTTTTTTTCTAATTTTTAAAATTGATTTTAAAAAATAAAAAATACTAACTTAAGAACAAAAATAAGATTAGGTAATCCCGGAGAATTGGAGTTTCTTTGAAAAAAAATTTAAGAATATGAAAACGGATTTTTCTAGTTAAATGTACGATTCGGGATTAGACTTTTTGAAAAGCTGAGCTCATTGTCAAATTCGTAATCAGCATATTTTTTACCGTAAAAATCCTTTCTCTCAATTAAAAAAATTTTTTTTCTGAAGAAACCCAAGTCTCCGGGATTGCCTAAGATTAGATTAATTCAAGAAAAATTTTAATTAAAATAATTTTTTTGCAAACCATATTATAAATTCTAGTCAACATTCCAACAGCTCGATCATTGAGAATTACAAGTTTCTCGGCAAATTTGAGTTGTGATGAATCTGCAACAGTTTTGTAGCTCATCTTGTTGTTATTTTTACCTGCAAATTTTTGTGTATAAAATTGTAAAAATTGCCTAAATTAAAAATTTTTAGTTATAAATTGAAGGAGAATGGTCAAATCGAGAAAATGATTCACACAATTCAAAAAATAATTTTGGCATTATGTTTTTTAATTAATTGAGAGATGTGGTGAATTTGAGAGAACAAAAGTAATTTATCGGTGTCCGATCAAAAGATAGTTGTTCTAAAAGATAGATACGGCTAATATCGATTAAAAGATAGACGCGGCCAGAGACGTGGTGCATCTATCTTTTAACGTGTCCGGACAAAATATCGAATCGTTAAAATATGGAATAGGCTAAAAAAGGGTTAAAATCTCGAATCGGGTAAAAATGGGTTAAAATCGCGAATAGGCTAAAAAGGGGTTAAAATGTGGAATCGTTAAAATATGGAATGGTAAAAATATCGAATCGGCTAAAAAAGGGTTAAAATATGGAATCGTTAAAATATCGAATTGATAAAATGTCGACACGGCCAAAATAGGTCAAAATGTCGAATTTTTTTAAAGATGCGCCAAAACCTTGAATCCGGGCGTTACCGTAATACCGACGGTATTTTTCGGTATTCCGTGTCGGTTGTACGGTACGGAATGCCGACCGATAAAATTTAAAAGCTGACCGTTATTTTTCGGTATTCCATACCGTATACGGTAAGGTCAAACTTTAGGTCTTAACTAAAAACTAATGCATACCACTCTAATTTTTCCATATCAGGATCGCGTTATGTTTTCCGGATCCGTACGATCATGCCGGACCGGATCCGGTCGATTATGCTTGATTTATCCGGTCCGGTTTTACTCGGTAAAGTACAGTGAACTCAGACAGAAAAGATTACGACGGACTACGACTTACCAAACTTATCAATCAACTTATCATCAATAAACTGATGTTGATAAAATTATCAACAATCAACGTATGGCACAAATCTGACCCGTTTTTAAAAGAATTCGACATTTTGACCCATTTTGGCCGTGTCGACATTTTTACCATTCCATATTTTTACGATTCCATATTTTAACCCTTTTTTACCCGATTCGATATTTTAACGATTCCATATTTTAACGATTCGGTATTTTAACCCCTTTTTAGCCTATTCGCGATTTTAACCATTCCATATTTTAACGATTCCATATTTTGTACCGGAGCCATCTTTTAATAGTTTTTTGCCGTATCTATCTTTTGTTGCATCTATCTTTTGTCTAGGAGCCAATTTATCGGCTTCATTTGGATTTTCTTCGATTTATTTTATTTTCTAGTTTTTTTTTTGTTTTTTTATCCGACTTTCTAATTAGTTTGGGGGTTTTGAGTTGATAAATATTGTATGCAAATTTAGTTCATTTAGGCATCATTTTCATTGGTTTTCTTCTAACAACTGCCTTATTTCTTTACTTTATTGGTTACCATCAATTTGTTCAATAAATGGGCTGTACTCATAGTGCTAACGACAAACAAGCGAAGGATAGAAGCAGGCAAATTGACGAACAGGTTTGGGATTTTGTAGCTCATGTTCTGTGATATAAGTTGGGGACTTATTCGAGGGAATGAAAATCTAACCTTTATCTCATTTGATAAAATTTCAGTTGAAAACGGACCATGAACGTTCACAAAGGGAGGTTAAACTCTTACTTCTGGGCGCTGGTGAATCTGGGAAAAGTACAATTGTAAAACAAATGAAGATTATTCACGAGACGGGATATAGTGACGATGAACGCATTGCCTATCGGCCTGTGGTATGATTTTATTCGATTAAGAATTCCTTTGGACGAGTTTAACTTAATTTTCTTATAGGTTTATTCGAACACTATCCAGTCTTTGGTTGCAATTGTAAAGGCAATGGGCCGTTTAGGAATTGAATTTGCCAACCCCTCTCGGAAGGCCGACGTTGAATCGTTTTATCATTTGGCAGAGACTTCAGAGGATGGTTTGTTATATTTTAAAAAGACAAAGATGTTAAATTGCAATTAAATTTAGGAGGACTGCCGCCCGACTTAGCAGCTGTAATGAAACGTTTATGGGAAGATGTTTCTGTCCAGGAATGTTTTGCACGTTCCCGTGAATACCAGCTCAATGACTCTGCCTCTTATTACTTGAATTCTTTGGACAGGATTGCAGCTCATGGATATTTGCCTACACAAGATGACGTTTTAAGAACACGCGTGAAAACAACTGGAATTGTTGAAACGCATTTCACTTACAAGGACCTTTACTTCAAGTTTGATATTTTTTCTATTTGTGATAAGTAAGTTTTTTTGAGTCCCTTATTTTAGAGGTATCTTTTAGAGATCGAGCTTGACCAAGGCCTGGGCTTTTCCTATACCCAGAGTCCAGGCCCAGGCATTTTTTGACCTTCCTGGGGTTTTCCTGGGTTTGGGTTTTTCTTGAACTACAAGCTCGAGATCCGGCTCAGGTCAATAAATCAAACCTAAAGTCCAGGAACAGGTCCAGACTTATCAAAAATTTCGATCTCTAGTATGTTCCATAAAGTCTTACGAAGAAAAAAGCCAAGCTAGGGATATTTCCGCTTTGGAGATTTTTCTATTTTTTTTAATTAGAATGTTTGATGTCGGCGGGCAACGTAGTGAAAGGAAAAAGTGGATTCATTGCTTTGAAGGAGTCACCGCGATTATTTTCTGTGTGGCATTGTCTGAATATGACATGGCTTTGGCAGAAGATGAAGAAATGGTTTTTCTAAAATATTTTTAATAATTACTAATATTATAAATATTTTGTAGAATCGAATGATTGAGAGTATGAAGCTTTTTGACTCCATTTGCAACAATAAATGGTTTTTGAATACGTCTATAATTCTTTTCCTAAACAAGGTTTTTAAAAATGAATAAATATGTAAAAAAATTTAATTATTTTTAGAAAGATCTTTTTGAGGAAAAAATTAGTCGGTCACCATTGACTTTGTGTTTTGCTGAGTATACAGGTTAGATTATAATTTTACGTTAGATTTCAAACAAAATTTTTCGTTTTCGATATCTCAAAAAGATTTTGCTTTAGCTAAAATTTGAAAAAAAATTTTTCAGGCTCAAATACTTATGAAGAATCAGCCGCCTATATTCAATTGCAATTCGAGTCGTTAAATAAACGAAAGGATGGCCAAAAGGAAATTTACACTCATTTCACTTGTGCCACAGATACGAATAATATTCGGTATGTTTTTTATAATATTTTTAAGCTTAGTTTTCTAATTTCCGTTTCTGCTTTTATTTTTGCTTTCGTTTATTTTTTCTTATTTATTTCAAGTTTTCTAAAAATAAGTTTTTTTTTTGAATGGGTACCGTTAATTAATTTCCGTTTCTGAATTTATACTAACAAGATCTAACCTGATATTTTCTCATTTAATTCTAAATCTCCAAATTCAATATCTTTCCCTTACATTGAAAGGAGGAAATATATATTAGATTTTTTTGACTTTATCTTTGTTTGTTTTTGAGGTTTGTTTTTGATGCCTGTACTGATATTGTAGTGAGAGAGAATTTACGGCAATGCGGTCTTCTCATCTAACAATAAATAAAAAATTTCTTTAACAACTATTAAATACGCACATAAACACACTAACACACACAAACATTCGTTTATATTTTTTGCTCGTCCTTATGTTTTTGACACAATCCAATTTTTCGTATGCTTTGCTTTTTTGATCAGTTAAAAATAAAAATAAGTTTTTTATAAGAATTATTAAGATTAACAACGGAAATGTATTCGTTAACTAGCATTTGATTTATTTTTGACCTTTAACCATCCTTATTTAAATCTCTTTTGTGCTGTTTGTGTGTTTTATGTTGCGCTCGCATTTCCGTTGTTTGGTTTTTGGAATTATTTTTATACTCACTTCTCTCCAACTTTACGATTAATTTTATTTTGGTCTTGTTTTAGAATTTGAACATAATTTTATTCTGATCAAAAAAATTTGCCCCTTCCCCTCCTTTGGCAATTTTTTTAAAATTATTAGATACAATTTAATTTTATTTTTTAAGGTTCGTATTTGATGCCGTTACAGACATTATTGTTAAAGAAAATCTTCGGTTGATTGGATTGCTTTAAGACAAAAATGTATGGATAAATTTAACTTTTTTTAATTTAAAAAATATATAACAAAAAATGTTCTTTTGTTTCAAGCATTCTTTTGTTTAAAATAAAATATATTTTTAAAAAAATTTTAACGAATTTAAAAAGAATGCTTTTATGACCTCAATTTAAAAAAATGCATCTCTCTCTTCGGTAAACCATTTTTTGGTTAAGTTGTTTTGATTATATTTGTATAATCACATAAATATAGATAGTTTTTATTTTCAAAAATTACGCATTTAAAAAAGTTTATTTTTATCTTTCTGAAAGAACCTTAAAAATTCTTTTGTTTACAAGAATGTCTAAAAATTTAAAAATTAAATGAAATCTTTTTGCTAAAAAGTTGAATAGGGTGATCTATTTTTCGTAAACCCTACACTTTAATTTAACTAAAATTTTGTTAACTATTGGGTGGGGAAGCTAACAATAAGCGAATACGCTTCGTCCCAAGTTTTTATGTAACTTTGAGATCCGGTTATATAAAATTTAAAGAGACATTCTTGCTTTCTCAATTAAAATCGATTAAAATACCTATGTAAATTCGTCAGTCTCAACTGATGAGATTTTTAAATTAGCTTATTTCAATAAATTTTATTGTAATTGGTATTTTAACCAAAAAATCAAGTTAAAACAGTACTGTCAAAAATATTTTATGAAAAATTGTTTTTTTTTGTTTTCGTTTTTCTAAGATTTTAAAGAAATTGGGAAAGGCCCAGAGACCTTGGGAAAGGCCCATTTGTACTGTTCTTGTCTTGCTTGCTCTCTTTAAATTATATAATTTTTCAGAATTTTTTGCCTATTTCTCCGTTTATATTTACGCTGCTGGTTAATAAGTCGCCTATAAAAATCAGCTTTTTAGATCCTTCAGACATTATAAGATTTTTATTTTTACCTATACAAAGTATTCTCGCATTTCTTTTGTTTTTTTGTTGGGTTTTATGCAAAAATCAATGCTTTTTTAATGTTTTTTATCTTTCATACTTATATAATTTTTGAATAAAATTATGTTTATATAATTGGACAAATCTACTTTTTCCCTAGAATTTTATTGAAAAAATATTTTTGGAAATATTTATAGTCAAAGGAAATTTTTATTGACAAACTTGAAAAAATTTTTTGAAAAAAATACTTGGAGTTTTGTCTAGACAAGAAGTATGTAATTTTTTGAGGTTCTAGAAAATAAGTTTGATAAAGCGAAGAAAATTTTAGTTTTTTTAATTCCTAAATACAAAATTCCAATAGTGAATTTTTCCTCCTCAAATAAATAAATATAAAATTCAGAATTCGAAAAAAAGTCAAAACCAAAAGAATTTAAATCTTAACATGAATACAAGATGTCATTACAGGACTTTTTTCGAAAAGATTTGACTTTAAAATATTTTAAGAGTTAAAAAAATATCCATATCCACACAAGAATCCACCAGAATAATTAATTATTTCCCAAAGGTTGTGGTCGCCACTAAAAATTTTTTAAAATTATTCGATTTAATATTTCAATTATAAACATTTTTTGATAAAAACATTTTTAAAATATTTTTCTTCAATTTTCGAAAGATTAAGTTTTTTTAAAGGTTTTTTATCATTTTAAAATTATTTAGACAAAATTATTTGTGATTTTATTAAATTTAAAAATTTTACCAAGACAATATGCATTGTACCATCAGAACAATGAACCTATAAATAATTTTAAAAATATTTAGAAAATTTAAACTTCATTGGTCCCGAAAATTTCATTTTAAATTTTAAAAATACTATTTCTGTCTTCTATTTTTATCTAATTAGAATCCCTAACCCTAACAAAAAAATCGAATTTTTCACCCAAAATAGTGATTACTCCCCCCTATGGTTTTCGATTTTCAAGGACTTATATTTCTGTACACAGGCATTTCCGCACCTGGAGAGAGTGGTACCGTTCGACTCAGCCAAGATTCAAAAATTATCGCACAGCGCCTTAAATTTAAAACTAGTTGTCCTGTAAAATTATAGATGTTCGAATACTAGTTTAGGAGCTCAAACAAGAGAAAAATAGCGGGACGTCTTATAATACCAAAAGCTTGAAATACCAAGCACCCAAAAATCCTTGAAATATCAAAGTAATATCAAAAAATAAAATTACAGTTGTTGTGGTGTGGTGGCTACTATAAAAGCCTCACATAATTGTCAGTCCGTGTCTCCTAATTGTCTCCAATATTATCCCAACCTTATTCTATTGCTTCAATACTATTGTTATTTCTATTGTGTGATAAACACATTATTGTATTGTGTATTTCTTGTTGTGCAGAGACACAACAAATTTGGCGCGGTCGTAAACGGATTCAATTGTAAATTGTATTGAAGAAAACAAATCAGGTTAGTGGCATTGTTATTGTTCATTGAAAAAATATTGTATTGATTCTTCAGAATGAAAGCGGAAGACATTCAAAAACTTCTTGAACAACAACAAATGAAATTCAATCAACAGCAAAAGGAACTTCAGGAACACCAAAACCAACAATTGTTACTGCAGCAGAAACAGATTGCAGAATTGTTGAGTAAATTGGGCAATAGGCCAAATATTGAAAGTGCTACATCGCTTCAACAAGAAGGATCAGCGCTATACGGTAAATTGCACAAATTGATTTCTGAGTTCCATTGTGATATTCCACGGGCATTCACGTTCGAAACGTGGTATGATAAGTACAAATCGTACTTTGAAATTGAGGGGGCCACATTGAGTGATGAAATGAAAGCAAGATTGCTTATTGCGAAATTGGGTGGCCCTGAATATTCTAAAATTGCCCAAAAATTATTGCCACGAAAATTATCAGACCTGAAATATGGGGAATTGTTAAATGAATTGAAAGAGGAGTTTAGGGACCCGAGGTCCAAATTGCTAAAGCGTTTCGATACGCTGAAATTGAAATGTAATGAATATGAAAATATATTGCAATTTGGGAACCTTGTAAATGCCGAATGTGAAAAGTCAGAAATGAATCTGACTATGGAAGAAATGAAAATATTGATTTTTATTGTAGGTCTTCCTGACTCTGCAGTAGATGTGAAACAAAATTGCATTCGGTTGATTGAAAATAAATCAAAGAAAAAAGAAGATTGTAATTTCAAGGAATTATTGGAAGATTGTCGAGGATTCTTGTCTACGAAAAAAGAAGTCAAATTGTTGTCTGAACCTAAACAGGTCAGTAAAATTGAATTGGGTTCACCACCGGAAATAAATATTATTCAGGAACCTCAATTACAACAAAAACCAAATATTGAAATTGAAAACAAGAATTGCTATTATCCACCAAAAAGGCCATATTGTAATTATTGTAAAAAAGAAGGACATTGGACTTCTTATTGCTATTTTGCTGGTAAGCGTAAATTCTCACCTAGAGTGAATAATTTGAAAATTGGTTTAGATAAGAGCAATGATGGTCCTTATTGTATATTGTTGGATATTGAAGATAATGAAGTGCTGCAAAAACAAAATTGGATTGTCCAAAAATTGAAAATAAATGGAAATTCATTAAACATGATTATTGATACAGCCGCGCAAATTTCAATTATTTCAAAGGAAACGTGGTCACAAATTGGTGAACCAAAATTGGAAGAAGTTTCCTACAATGGAATTGCGATGGGCAAAACAAAATTCAAAATTGAAGGAAAATTTGCAGCAAACATTGATTGTAATAATAAAGAAGAGTTATTGGATTGCCATGTTGTTGAAGGCAAATTGAATTTAATTGGATTACCTTGGCTTAAAAGATTGAATTTATTGAAAAATATTGTTAATGTTCCAGAAATTGAAAAGGAAAGGAAGAAAATTGTATGGAACAAACAAAAGCAAATGTCAAAACCAATTGTAAAGAAAAAACTCTGGAAAGGCAAAAATGTAATTGTGAAGAACAAAAACAAAAGAACCAACAAAATTGAATGGCTAAAAGGCGAAATTGTAGGAAAAGTTGGTCAATTGTTTAGAGTTCAAGTTCATTGCCTGAAGAGTGTAATTCTGCGAAAAATTGAAGACATTAAAGAAGATTATCAACAACCAAGAATTGAATCAAAGAAGTGCTACGCTGTCAAACGTTCAGATGCGAGGCTGTACAATGAAGGCGCAACACCGAAGAAGAAAACAAAGATCTGGTCCGAAAAGTCTGAAGATAAGATGCAGAGCTGTTCTGAGGGATCAATAAATTCTGAAGGTTTAATAAATTCTGAGGGTTTGATAAATTCTGAGGGTGCAAATATTTCTGAAGGATCAACGATAAATAAAATATATAAAATGTTCTTTTGATTTGTAAAATTTTTTTGTTCCCTTATTCCCTCAAATTTTTTTGTATGTATTTGTTGACCGGACTTTTGTTATTGTATTGTATGTTTTGTATTGTGGTGTTGTAACCCCAGCCTTGCAAAGGGGGAGGTGTTGTGGTGTGGTGGCTACTATAAAAGCCTCACATAATTGTCAGTCCGTGTCTCCTAATTGTCTCCAATATTATCCCAACCTTATTCTATTGCTTCAATACTATTGTTATTTCTATTGTGTGATAAACACATTATTGTATTGTGTATTTCTTGTTGTGCAGAGACACAACAACAGTAAAATAATATCCTCCTCCTTCAGCCTTTTTAGGTTCCCGTCTCGCAGCTGGTTTCATCCCCCTTTCCAAATTTCGTCGAGTTCTTTCCACAACTTCAATTTTATCCAAAGCCCGATAATGTTGAACAACTTCAGGTATCTGCATATTTAGAACATCAGCACCAACATTCGCAAAACAGTTAAAGATTTGCAAGTATCCAGAACTAACCTAAAATAAATACTTTAATTA